CCATTCTGTCAATCAATCTCCCTCCAAAAACCATTTAAACATGAGACATTGATATCCCTTTTTTCTCATCTCAGCCCTCCATTCCCCTCTCAAAAAATCTATAAATACCACATCTTTCTCACATCCTAAACACACAAGAAAGCTTAGAGCAATTACTTTATACTCACTAATATAGAGAATACCCCCTTTCACATCCAATAATTCCCCCATCCACATTCTCCCGTCCTTCTATCCCACCACATCAATCTTAAGTCCAAAAACCCCTAGGTCAAGCCACATTGAAGAAGAAAGCTGAAACATTGTTGAAGTCTGAAGTTGTTGCAGAAATGTTGAAGACGTCCAACACTGTTTACCGGACTACATGAACAACACTTCCCTATTCCTCGGTCCAAGCATATCTGCTGCTAAATGCATTTCTCTTGCCTCTGGATCAATCGTATTCAAGGTGAGTTCACGATCTGGGGTTCCTTTGTTTGATTTGCTCATTATTGCTAATAATTGTTAAGGGTTTATTTTATCGGCTTGATCAAGTAGTCGTATATTTCTTTCAAAGCTTTCTGCTTTGTTATTGGTTTGATCGATGAGAGATTATTTTCACTAGTAGCTATTTATCTGTTATAGTGATAATCAAATTGCTCAATAGTCATTAGTTCACGTAACTAAGGTTGCTTACATTTCATCAATAATTGGTTAGTCCTCGTGTGATTAACCGATAGTTTGTTTATATCTTTTCCACCATTCCCATCATATGCGTTATTTAGGCCTGTACTCATTTAACATTTGACTCCGTTTATTTATTTATTTTTTTTCATTGCCATCAGCATTTTTAGTTTAATACACTTGTTAGTTTATAGGCTAGATCATTTGTTTATAGGCTAGATCAGCATACAAGGTGGGAAATTTCTTTAGGAATTTTCCATTAAGATTGGATAGATCACGTTTTTAGAGGTTGCATTCAGAATTTTTTTTATAAATAGGATATTTAGTAGCTAGGTTTGTGGTTCTAGTTTACTAGTCATTTATTTTCTAACTAGTATTATCTTTCTATTTTGAGCTTTCTTCTTGCATATATTTGATTTATGGATTGACTACATCTTTTACAATATCGCCAATCTCTTAGTTTTTCATAGTTCATTTTCCTATTTTGTTTACTAATAAATTCATTTTCATGTAATACTAGATCTTTTTTCTCTTATTTGTGTTATGTTTGTTAATTTGAATTAGCCTTTTTAAAAATTTTCTTTTTTTTTAATGCCCAAAAATTATAAAATTATCCTTGGAACTTTGGTGAAGTAGAGGCTGGTTTAACCGGGCGTGTGTGGGGTGCCTAACACCTTCCTGCACCATACCTTAGTCTCCGGACTCAAAGAATCTCATCCCCATTGGGTAACGGGTCACCAAGAAAACAAAATGTTTTTCTTGAAAAATCATGGGTTTTCCTAAATTCCCAATTCCAAAAATTTAGGTGGTGACTCCAAATTCCATATCCAATCTGTCTCCCCCCCCCCTCCGGGTTGGGTAGCCACACGCCCCATAGCACATCTCAGCATGCATTGAAAACAAGTCTCGTACTTGTCATTGAAAAATGTTTCCAATGCACGGTTGGATGTGTTATGGTTGTGTTGCTCGTGACACGACATGACCCAACATGATTTGGGCTAGGCTTGGCAGGACTCAACACGACAACATGCGAGTTGTGTCGGGCTTAGATTTTTAGGCCCACGAGTTGGCACGACATAGTAGGACAACGCGGGCCGTGTTGGCACAAGCTCGTGGCACAACCTAACCTAACCCATATATATACTATATTATATATAATAATATATATTTATTTCTTTTCAATTTTAGTATACTATTTTATTCTAATTGTATTGTAATTTCTTTAATTTCATTTTATTATTGTATATATAAATAATTGTATAGATCAAAATTCATATAAAATAAAATTTTAGGATTTTTTTCAAAATTTTTAAATTTTGTTAATTTATTTTAAAATTTTCATTATTTTTTCATTTTTTTAAATATACCTCTCATAGCTTGGCTAGATTTACGGACCAGCCCGACCCAAGTTTGCCTGAATAGTGCCAGGCCAAACTTCTGAAGTATCCCAAAAGCAGCAAGTATAGCCTGAACCAATCCGTTGACTAACACGACACAACCCACCAAAAGCATGAGCCACCTAAGCCCGATTTACACCTTTAGGGTCTGTTTGATTGCTGAGAAAGGATGGGATGAGAAATGTTGGGATGAGAAGAGGAAAATTTAATTTCTCAATTAGTTATAATGTGTTTGTTTGCTGAGAAAATTTATGTAAGAAAATCCACTTTCTAGTGTTTGTTTTGCAAGAAAATTTATAGGAGTAAATGGCTGAGCTTCCAGCAGAGAGTGGGGGTTCAATACGGAGGCAGGCGTGGAGCAACAACGCCCAACATTCTTTGCATCCTTAAACTAAGTAACAACGTCCGACGAGGAACCAGATGGGTCAGATGAGAGAGGGAATGGGGAAGAAGCATTGGCGTATTCAGGAACAATGGAAACGTCCTCCTGTTTCTTGGGCACTTCATCTCTAAAAAGATTAGCAGATCCTTCAATTGGTTCAGCCGTTTTAGGGATTTGTTTTCTCTTCTCAATCGACAGATATTCAAATCTAGAGCTTAACTCGTTGAGTATGTCTCTAATCTCGTTTCCACCGCCGGCAACGTCATTGGCAATGGTTTTTCGGGTGGAGAATCAAAATCCCTAAATTCGTAACCACAGCTGGGGACACTCTCGGTGGCGTTCTTTGTAGGCAGAGAATCAAAATCCGTGATTCCTGCAAAACTAGGTGCATCGAACACAGTTTCATCGTCGTCATCTCTCAAAGTCGACGAGAGCTTGCAGAGTCGACGTCGACCCTCTAGTTTGACCTTGTGAGGTTGCTCCGGGTCCTGGGAGGGTTTGGGTGGTTGGTGGTGGGAAGACAAGTCTTCGAGAAGGCGACTGTGGCGATCGTTGAGACTCAAGGGCTTCTTCTCCGCCATCGGAGCGAGAGGCTCCACTTCGCAACAGCGACAGAAAGAGATGAAAAGCGTTGTCTGTGCGTCTGGTCTCCGGGACGTGGGCGTGGTGCGTTAGGATCTCTGCGGAGGGTGTGGAGTGGGGGTTTAATACGGAGGCGGCGCTTCCGGCGGTGATGCTCAGCAACAGCCTCCTCCGCTGAGGAGTAGGCAAATGAGCGAATAGAGAGGAGGTTATGGTTGGGATGCTGGAGGAGGATGTGGTGATGATCGGCGGCGATGGTGGAGGTGCTGATAACAGGAAGAAGATGGTTAGTGGTGGAGAGAGAGAGAGGAGATGATCGACTTTTTGCTCTAACAAAGCCCGAGCAATTTTCTTAGCGTTTTCTTTTCTCACCGGGGTCGCACTGTTTTGGTGCGACCCTGCTCACTTAATTTTGAGATCCCGCATCCCTCTTATTTCTCATCCCAAAACATTGTTTACCAACAAACAAACACAAGAAAGGGAGAATCATTCGGGAATATTCCCTTTTCTCATCCCTTTCTCAGTAAACAAACAGAGCCTTAGGTGAGGTGAGTCGATGAGAATTCCCCATTGGCTAGCATTTGTCATGATTAATAATAAAAGTTAGGGTAAAACATAAATACCTCCGCTGAAGTTTCTAACAATCTTAATAATCTCTCTTGAAGTTCCCCACAATCATGATAACCTCCCTTAAGATTTCACTTTAGCAAAAATTATCCCTACAGCATTTACCTCTCTTCCATCGCTGTCTTAATAAAATGGATATTTTTGAAAAACTAATGCATTTCACTAATGTTTATTGTCAAATACAAATACAATAAGAAAGGGAAAATTCCCGATTAGTACCCTGTACTTTGGGCCTAGTGTCACTTTGGTTCACAAACTTTAAAATGTGATATTTCAGTACCCAAACTTTTAAAATATGACAATCAAGTACCTGCCTTTTAAGTAGTTGTTAACCAGCCGTTAAGTGGCATTTGAAAAAGACACAAATGCCCTTCAAGTGTTATTTAATTTTCTTAATCAACCATCTAAATGTTGACAAAAAATTAACAATCCCAAATCTTTGCCTTTTCCATTCAATAAAGTCGGGATTCATGTTTGAATGGGCATTCTGGTGACCTCAACTTTCTTGAATAGAAGAGGCAAGGATTTGAGATTGTTAATTTTTTTGTCAATGTTTGAATGGTTGATAAAGAAAATTAGATGACATTTGAAGGGCATTTGTCTTTTTCAAATGTCACTTAACGATTAATTAACAACTAGTTAACAACAGGTACTGGATTGTCATGTTTTGAAAGTTCGGATACTGACTTTTCCTATTTTAAAGTTCGAGGACCAAAGTGCCACTAGGCACAAAGTATAAAATACTGATGGGAATTTTCCCTTAAGTATCGGAACTAAGGCTTCGTTTGGTTTGTGGGATGGGATGAGAATATTCCCTTTTCTTCTCATTTGTTTCAAGGGGAACAGGGGGATGGGATGAAAAAAAAGTGGGATGCGAGATCCCAAAATTGTGGATGTGCCACCCCGGTGGAAAAACTCGAGAAAACTCTAGTTTCTTCATCTTCATCCTTAGCCCTGCCGCTGCTAGTAACCACTGCCGTTGCTGCACCATCGTCGCTGCTAGTAACTACCGTTGTTATTGGTAACCACGGTTGAAGATGTTTCCGCCATGTTAGAACCCAGATCGAAGGTTTTCTGCCATGGTAGAACTTAAATCTGGGTTCGGAGACACAGATCAAAGCTTCTGTCATGAAGTTTTCTGTCTCTCCCTCCATCTTCCTCTTCTCTCTTCTTCCTCACCTTCTTCTCTCTTCTTCCTTATAATAATATTTTCCTATTATTTTTCCATATATAAAACCAACCAATGGATAAATAATTTTGTACACTTTCTCATTCCATTCCATCCCATCCCATATCATCCCATCCCATCCCATATCAAATGGAGCCTAAAGGGAACATTTCTGTGAGGATGAAAACTCAGGTAAGGTTTTTTGTCCGTTTTCCTTATGTCAACGGGATCTATAGATGAGAATCTCTAATTCTAGATGACACCCATTTGTTACTTGGAGGTAGGGCTATCCCACGACCACGAGCAAGCGTGAAGTATGTATCAAAATGATATCCCAAGATACGAAGCTTTAACCACAACATTGATGGTCCTGATGACAACACACCCAACAAAAAATGGCGACACCATAACGACATCTTTCCCTCCTAAACCATAAGCTGATGGGCATGAGCGAGCAACGGCCATAGATACCGGTGAGCTATGTTCTCACATCTCCGCCACCCCCACGACATCCTCCCTTTTCTTACCTTCAACTTCAACACCCGACGGCGACTGCCACCAATCTTCCGTTGCTTTAAGTGCAGCTGTAGTAATGAAGAACCAAAATCTTATTCAACTCGTTTCCTTCCTCCCAAACCTTCTCATTCTCGTCTCCCACCTCTCCCATTCCTTCGCGCTCTCTCTTCCAATCCTAGTATGGGTTCTCAATCTACCGTCGCAGATTTTCCCTTACAGTACCCTTTCGCCCGAAGAGATGAATCGGTCGTCGATGACTATCATGGCGTTAAGATATCTGATCCGTATCGATGGTACTTGTGCTTCTTTTGCAATTCTTTCTCACCCATCTGCATAGTTTGTCCTGAATTTGATGTTTTCTGGTCAGGCTCGAAGACCCCGATGCCGACGAAGTCAAAAATTTCGTTGAGAAGCAGGTAAAATTGACGGATTCGGTGCTTGCTACATGTGATACGAGAGAGAAACTTCGCCAGGAGATTACGAGGCTTTTCGATCACCCTCGGTTCGATGTCCCGTTCAGGCGGGGGGATAAATATTTCTACTCTCATAACACCGGTCTTCAAGCGCAGAGCGTCCTCTATGTGCAGGTCTGTGGACTGTGGATGGGCTCGAGTTAAAGTTGAAATGTTAAGAGAGGGAGAAAGTAGGTGACCTTTTAATGGGTCTGCGGATTCATGGCTTGACGTGTACCTATTTCAGGGTAGTTTAGATGCGAAGGCAGAGGTTTTGCTCGATCCCAATGCGCTTAGCGAGGATGGAACTGTTGCTCTGAACGCATATGCCATTAGCGAGGATGCTAAGTACTTAGCTTACGGGCTTAGTTCTAGTGGCAGTGATTGGGTGACAATCAAAGTAATGCGGGTCGATGATAAGACCGTCGAGCCTGATACTCTATCCTGGGTGAGTGAACAAGCATTTGCTCAGATACACATAATGGAATAGTTCAAACAGTGTTCTTCTTGGTAGATACGAGTTCATTTTATGTATCTGCTTGTTACAGGTTAAATTTTCGTCTATCAGTTGGACTCATGATAATAAAGGGTTCTTCTATAGCCGCTTTCCGGCTCCTAAGTAAGGAATAAGGACTCTTTAACAGCTGCTATCCAACTTTTTTTGGTTATTTCTGCAACCGCTAAGTAGGATGGATCAATGCCTTCCCATTTGTGGTGTTCTGGGTCTGGCATATTAAATTCATGACGATGGTGGGTATTGAATTGTAGGGAAGGAGAAAAGTTAGATGCCGGTACCGAGACGGATGTTAATCTTTATCACGAGCTTTACTATCATTTCTTGGGTACGGATCAATCCGAAGACATTCTGTGCTGGAAAGATTCCGACAATCCAAAATATCTGTTTTCAGCCCAAGTAATGGACGACGGGAAGGTAAATCGCTTCTCTTGGTAACATTTACAAACAGCCTATTCCAATTCTCTGGTTTGCCTTGTCAATTTTGGTTTGATCACATTGGACTCATGCCAAACTCGACCAAGGATGGGAGGATACATCCATCCCAAACGTCATACCGGGACCGGGAGATTGTTTCTGATGTTTATGTTTCCAGCTTCATCTTTTGATTGTCATCCTATCTTCTATTTTGAAATGAAACTCAAATTTGGGGAATGAGTCTGACAGAACAATTGAAGAGGTATAAGTGATACATAGCCTACTTGTTGATAACCTGATGTAGAATGCTTTTAATGCTCTCTCAAATCCCTTGAGGAAAATGATATTTGATTTTCTAATATGGTGTTCTCTTTGTTTCCTTACCAGTACATGGGATTTTTTTCCCTGGAACTGCTATGAATATTTCTAATTGTATTTGGAACTAGGGTGCAGAGGTGGAGTTGATTCTCTCATACTATACTCAACTCAGGAATCCCAACTATTTGGGGTAATCGGTTCCCTCATGTCTGCGAGTAATCCCTTTGATTTGAGCAGGATGAGAAAGTTTGGCTTATTATTTTTTTTTCTTGGGGGTGGTGATGGAATGTACCATCCGAATATTGTCAACATGAGTGGAATCTAGGAATAAGTTGAATTTATTTCCATTTCCTTGTGCTTGCTCCAAATACAGCCTTATATTTCTTTTCAATGTCATTGTATCCCTTTGTCCAAATTTGAAATATCATATGGGCTATTTTCTGGTAATGCTGGTTGAACTTCAAGGGGAAGGGGATACTTTTCAAGAGATAATGCTGACCATTGTCAGGAACTGAAATCAAAGATAATGTATATTTTTCTAAAGGATAGAGATGATATGATTGGAATCATCCCAATCAAAATAAGCTACTTTCATTAACAAATTTCATTCCTAGGAATAAGCTTCACCCCTTTTGTTGAGTTTGTTTATATAACAAATAATCCTTGGATATTTATAAGTTCAAGAAGGAAAATAATTTCAAATGCTATTCATTGGGTGGTCTTTATTTTGTTAGTCTGGATTTCTTTTCCATTTAATGGTTCATTGCACATATGATTATAAATTATAGCAGTAAATGTTTAACCATTTTTTGCAGTAACCAAAATGACTATAGGTTGGGATTTCTGCACAAATTGTTCCCTGCTATTGTATTTGCTAATATTGTGTGTGTGTGTGTGTGTGTGTGTGCGTTCACTCTTCAATTGTTAATGAGCTTTTTTTTTTTTACCAGGCCTTTTTTTATTATACATGTGTGCGTGTGTGTTCCTGTGCCTATGTCTTTATGTGTTCACTCTTCAATTGATGTTTGCAACAATTCTTTTAAAATTCTCTATGGATAGACTCAGTTCTTTCTCTTATTTTGCAGTATGTGCTACTGTATATAGAGGAGGGATGTGATCCAGTCAATAAGCTTTACTACTGTGACATATCTGCACTTCCAGATGGAGTTGAAGGTTTTAAAGGCAGAAATGAAAGGCTTCCCTTTATCAAGCTTGTTGACAATTTTGATGCCAGTTATCATGCTATTGCTAATGATGGAACCCTGTTTACCTTCCAAACTAATAAAGAAGCTCCAAAGTATAAGCTAGTTCGGGTGGATCTCAATGAACCAAGTGTCTGGACTAATGTCCTCGAAGAATCTGAAAAGGATGTGCTAGTATCAGCCAATGCTGTCAACAGTAACCAGATTCTGGTACGCTACTTGAGTGATGTCAAGTACGTTCTGCAGATAAGAGACCTGAAAACAGGTTCACTGCTACATCATTTGCCTATTGATATTGGCACGGTATATGGGAGTTCTGGAAGGCGCAAAGACAATGAGATCTTTATTGGGTTCACCAGCTTCCTTACACCTGGTATTATTTATCAGTGCAATTTAGAAACTGAGGTCCCAGAAATGAAGATATTCCGGGAAATTGTTGTTCCTGGATTTGATCGCATGGAATTCCAGGTTAATCAGGTAATAATACTACTTTTTTATTACTGTGACCATGATGTGTATTTATCTACTACTCTTTTTTTGCCAAGAATTATAGAGCTTGGAGTTGTTTTGTAAAGTTATTTTCTAGTTTGAATTTGAATGATAGGATATTGTCTTTATTTTCAGTAGGATAAGGAAACTGGTACCATGTTAGTGGAGTAATAATAAAATCAAGTCATCATCTTAGTGAGCATGATTATTTTGCCAGAATTAAATTAGACTTGTAGTGTACTAGAGCAATAACCACCTGTCTTTGGTGTATTTTTTTTCTGGTTGGGTGTTATATGTTGGTTAGATACTGTACAACTTCCTTGAGAGATGTGATGCTTGTTTTCTTTCCTTTTCTTCTACTAATTGGATCTTTATTTCCAGGTTTTTGTAGGTAGCAAGGATGGTACCAAGATACCAATGTTCATTGTGTCTAGGAAGAATATCATTTTGGATGGGTCACATCCTTGTTTATTATATGGTTATGGTGGATTTAATATTAGCATTACACCATCATTTAGTGTCAGCCGCACCATTCTTATGAGGCATTTAGGTGCTGTCTTCTGCATAGCCAACATTCGTGGTGGTGGAGAATATGGAGAAGCATGGCATAAAGCAGGATCACTTGCAAAAAAGCAGAATTGCTTTGATGACTTCATTTCTGCTGCAGAATTTCTTGTCTCTGCTGGTTATACCCAACCAAAGAAGCTATGCATTGAAGGTGGAAGCAATGGTGGACTTCTTGTTGCAGCTTGCATTAGTCAGGTAACTTTTTTTTTGTAGTGCTTCTTATTCATAAATTTGTTGGATAAATTATCTTTTAGTGAAAATCACAAAATCTTTTTGGTGGCAGCGGCCTGATCTTTTTGGTTGTGCTCTGGCTCATGTTGGTGTTATGGACATGTTGCGTTTCCACAAGTTCACAATAGGTTGGTCTACATTCTTTTGGTCCATTGGCTAGCATATCATAGTGTGACATATTGATTTACCTAATTTTTTTCCAGGCCATGCATGGACTTCTGATTTTGGTTGCTCAGATAAGGAAGAAGAATTCCAGTGGCTAATTAAGTGAGTCATTCTTGTTGCATTTTTTTTTGTTCAATGCTGAGTTTGCAGTTTCTGTATGTTTCAGAACTGTCTTATTGTTTAAGTTAATATCTAAATGTCACCAGAAGTGGTATATTGTATCCAAAGACCAAAGCTACTTCCCTGTCAAGTGAAATACATTCCTTTTCTTTTTGTTTCTTTTGAGACCTTTGGGACATGAGGTCATTTGTTTATTTCTCAGATACTCACCGCTTCATAACGTTAGAAGACCATGGGAACAACTTCATGATAAGACTTGCCAGTACCCATCTACAATGCTTTTGACAGCTGACCATGATGATCGTGTTGTACCACTACATTCATTGAAGTTATTGGCAGTAAGTTCTGAATTATCATTATCTGAAATGTCATATCTCTTTTATAATTCTTTTCATATTTGGCTAATAAGAGGTGTAAAATTAAGGATTTCTAGGCATTGCATGTTTTTACTTGCGTATACTGGTGAAGCTCTCCACTAGAGCCTCATAACAAATGTTTTGAGAATTTAGCTTCTAAAATAGATTTACTCACTAATAGAAGGTGAAACAAAAGTAGAGTATTATGATCTGACTGGAGATGAAATTGTCACAAATAAGGGATTTTAGTATGCCATTTACTTTAAGGACAAAGAAAAATTGATCTTGACAATATATATATATATATATATATATATAGTGTTGTGTGACAATAGAATCTGATGTCCTATTTATTTTAGGGCAAGTTTTTTTTTGGTAGAATATTTGAGGGAAATTGAAATACCGAATTTAGGAAGGAAATCAAGTAAAAAGCTATCAAATTGGATGGGTGAAATAATTTCAATTAGGGGCACAACATGGGCTGGCCTGGGTTTGAGCATTTGTTAAAATTTGAAGGGGCTTGACCTAAGGGGTGTAAATTCTTCATGTTGGGTACCTAATTTGCACCACTATCAAAACGTTATGCAACTTGTGGTTTAGAATGATGGGACTTGTTTTTAATGTTCAACTGACGAGCTAGTAGGTCCTTCCTATATTCATGTTTATTTCAATGTTTTAAAACGCAGAGGTGTGATGTGAGGCGTTCCACTACCTAGAGGCATGAGGCGTAGTTCATAACGCAAGAGACGCAAGCCTCCCAAACACAAGGAGGCTTAAGAGGAGGGGGGTTAGGAGGAGGATGAAGAGTAAGGGGGGATCTCATTTTTTTCTTTATTTTTAATAAAATTCGTTTATATTAAGAAGAAGAAAGATGCGTAACATTTTTAATAAAAATCTTTTCTTCCCTTCACTTCCCTTCCCTTTCTTTTCCTTTCCTTTCCTTTGCTTTTTTTTCTTTTTTCTTTTTTTTTTGTCTTTTTATATAAGATGTGCATGAGGCATACGCCTCTAGCACGCCTCATGAAAAAAGCGCAAGAGTTACGCCTCTTGCACCTGAGGCGTACGCCTTAGAGGTGTTAGTGCCTCTGGCATACGCCTCAGGGCGTTTTGGGAGCGCACCGCCTCCAGGCGTATGCCTCCCACGCCGTTTAAAACACTGGTTTATTTATATGTATGAATGTATGTCTATGTTATAACATTTCATTGTGTTTACACCGGCATTGTTCTTTCACCCTCAGACCATGCAATATATCCTCTGCAACAGCTTGGAGAAGAGCCCACAAACCAACCCGATCATTGGTTGGATTGATCGTAAGTCTGGGCATGGAGCTGGACGTCCTACTCAGAAATTGGTAATCATTTGCTCTGAATTTTTCTCTTGATAGTATTTGTTTTTGGATGAAATTAATATCCCATTCTTGGCATGATCTGATGGGTCTTTGTTCTTTGTCTTTAATATTTTCTCCTAATAATAATTGTTACATGAATTTAAATCTCATTCATTGCTTAATCTGCTGGGTATTGGTCCTTGTCTTGCAGATTGATGAAGCTGCTGACCGGTATAGTTTTATGGCTAAGATGTTGGGTGCATCTTGGATCAAGTAAGAGGTGTTGATAAAACGGGTTTTAAATCTTGGTATTTTAGATTATGGCTCACAACTCAACAATGTTGAAATGCGATTAGGTTAAAGGAATACACTACATACTTGAATTCATATTGGTATAGTTGGGAGCCCACTGCTTGAGGTTTGTGTTAATGAAGTCTTGGGTTGGAAAGTAGATTTCACATTGTTCATCGATATCACCGGGATAAGGAGGTGGGTGGGTTAGATGTTGCATGAAAGTCTGCAACTTGAACCGCAATCCCATATTTGACTGTCTACTGTAATATATAGTGCCTTTGATTTACAGTGGGGCAATCTTAGAACATGTTTTCATGTCTGAAGTGTATACGTTAAATCCATATTTTACAGTGGGGCAATCCTACATGTCCCTAATGTGAGGTATCGTATTGTTGTTAAGCCATAGCCATTTGAATGATATAGCATTTATATGTTTCTAATCCTATCATATTCATAGCGTTATTGTACTTGTGATGCCAAAGTAGAGAGATGACGTGAGAAGTGATAAAGGGGTTGTTTCATTCGTGAGAAATAAAAGAGTAGAATTGGTAGTGGGAAAATCTATGATGCAGAAAAGATATGGTATTGGAAGAGTTTTGACCAATCAAAATCCACCCATAAATTTTGATAAATAATACATGATTGACTATCACATTTATGATCCCAGTTGATCGGTCAGAAGTTTTTCAGATATTATATCTTTTCCATATCGTAGTTGAACCCGTTGGTAGTTGGTGGAAGAGGTGTAAATAAGGATTAAAAGTACCGTGCCCTGTATGGGCATATCATATCGGTATCTATGCACCCAAATACACTTGAAAAGGATATTAGACCTCTTTTAAGACATTCTCATTATTATAAAATAAAAAAAAATAAGAATATCGGTCTATGGATAGACATCAATACCCAATTGATGCGCATTGATATTCTAATCCTTTTGAGTGTAAGACGATGGTATTAGCTGAGGTGGTATGAAACTCTAAAAGTTGGGAGGAAAGTGGATGGAGGTCTGTGACTCTGTGAGGAGTAAGATAGAGGGGAATGCTGTACCCAGGTAAGAGAGGAGTTCACATCAGCACCCCACAAGGGGTGCCCCACAACGTCCCACAGCACAAGGCTGGAGCTCCTCTAGAAATGGAGAAAATCCCTGGTGAATAAATTGATGGGTGAATTCTGAAGGTTTCTTTTTATTTTTGTGTTTTTTGGGCTCCATGAGGCTATTACACAACGGGGACAGGGGTAGGCTCTATCCCCCAAACCTTGGAGTTCAGATCTGCGCCCCACCACGAGGTGTCCCACAGTGCATCCCCGCCTTGTTTTGGGAACATCTCTCGATGATAATACCAGACCTGATGTCATCATTGGGAGATGTTACCAATACAAGGCGGGGATGTGCTGTGGGACATTGTGGGGCACTGATGTGAACTCCAAACCTTGGTGTAGGCGAGTCTCCACTACATCTGGTAAGAGACCTTACCAACTGGCCAGTTAGCACCTTGCATTAGGTTTCGAAGTTGATACTCTATTTTTCGGGGACATTTCTATCAAATTAAAAGTTTATATTGCAAAAGGTAAATCCGAATTTGTTCTTCACACCAAGTTTCAGTTGTGCATTGAGCACCCGCATTTGATATTGTCATTCATAAAAAAGATGTTTCCAATTCACAGCTGCAATGTACCGTGAGGTTGGTATGAGGGGCGCCTTGTTAGTAGTACATTGGATTTATCCAAAATGATATTGTATTAAACACGATTGCTCTTTTCTTCATGGAAAAAAATCAAATGGGAGATGAATAGACACCTTGTCAGTTTTATCCACTCGTTGGTTGGGAATCTATATATTTAAGAGAAAATTCCCGATCAGTACTCTGTACTTTGGTTCGAGTGACAATCTAGTACTCAAACTTTTAAAATGTAATCAACCATTAAGTGACATTTGAAAAGTAAAAAATGCCTTAAGAATGCCATCTAATTCTCTTTATCAACCATCCAAACATTGATAATAAAATAAACAGTCCCAAATTCTAGATTCTTCTAAACCGTCACCAACAATTTTGAAAAGAATAGACTAGGATTTGGGACTGTTCAGTTTTTTGTCAACTTTTGGATGGTTGATAAAGAGAATTAGATGGCATTTGAGCCAAAGTACAGGATACTAGATTGTAGCATTTTAAAATTTGGGGACCAAATTGTCACTTAACGGCAAATTAACAAACTGGTTAACAATGGTACTGGATTGTCACATTTTGAAAATTCGGGTGCTGGATTGTCTTATTTTAAAGTTTGGGGTCAAAATTGTCACTTAACGGCTAATTAATGGACTGCTTAACGATAGGTACTGGATTGTCACATTCTGAAAGTTCGGATACTAAATTGTGCATTTTAAACTTTGGGGACCAAATTATCACTTAACGACCAATTAACGGACTGATTAACGGTAGGTACTGGATTGTCACATTTTGAAAGTTTAGGTACTGGATTATTGCATTTTAAAGTTCGGGGACCAAATTGTCACTCGAGCCAAAATACAAAGTACTGATCAGGAATTTTTCCTATATTTAACAATGTATTGATGGGTAATTTATTTCTTTTTTTTTATATACAAACCAATGATCAATACAATGAACTCATATTTGATCCTCACAGCCTTTGTGCATTAGGAACATCTTTGTTCTTGCATTTGTTTGTATTTATTGATGGAGATATATTTCCGATGTACAGCTGCAATGCAAGGAGCTGTGAGTACCGTCTTGTAAAAATTAAATCCAAAAAATATGATATGAGTCGTTTGGTTTATAAATAATGACATCATTTATAGAAAAAAAATTGTAAAATAAATTTAAATAGAATCAGTTAATATATTAATAATAAGATGTAATTTGATGAACTGTTGACATAAAGACAAAATGTCGTGGAGAATCACAAGGATGGGCAAGACAGTTATGGAAAAATCAGGAGTAATCTATGAATTTGATGCTGCTTTTTTTTTTTTTTTAATAAGAAGATAAGAGATGACTTGAAAATTCCGACCATATATCTGACTACAAAGGGTGCACACGCTACAGTTGATACAATTTTGTATGCAGGTCCCGTAGTGAGATGTTATGAATTTATAATTGGCAATTTGGCATTTGCATTTGCAATCTTCTCAGATGGAACACCAATTGGTTTCGAGATATTAGAAGCATCCAAACATAAAAAGCCTATGACTGGTGGGAGTGACATTCTTTTTTTCTAAATAGGCTTTTGAATAATTACTTAAATAAGTGCTTATTTGAACATTGACACTCATATCTAAACACAGGCAAAAGTTTGAGACAATGGAGGTTTTGGAGATAGGGGCGGAGCTGGGATTTTATGTTAGGGGGTCAAATACTAATGAACATAGATTAGGGGGTCAAAAGTTAATAAAAAAAGGGTGAAGGGTTAAAGTATAAATGAATCATCAATAGGGATTGTGGGGATTTTCTGGGAACGTTGTTGACTAAATAATTGTTCAGTAAGCTCTCTGGCACGTTGTTGAACCCTCGTGACGAACCAGTTCTTGGACCACGGGTACCTTGGAAGTTCACAATATTGAAGATATTAACAAATTTGAAGTTGACACTACAATGTGCAATCCTCTCTCTTTTTTTGTTTTCCCTTGCACAGTTTTGCCGGTTATATCTGTTTAGTGAATAACATCCTTAAAAACTGAAAATGGAAACACTTGTTATGGGGACTGTTGGTGGTCTGTCAGGCTTCTTGGTGCCAACTTACAACAGCGGTCCACCACCTTTGTTTTCGGCGATCGCCGCTACAATTCATAGCAGTGACGTTCTTTCTCTTTCCCTCAACCTCTTGTCCTCTCTCTCTCTTCTTCTTCTCTCTTTCTCTTTCTTTGTCTTTTTTTCTTTTTCTCTACCACCTCCCGTTCCTATTATTTTTGTTTTCCATGACTGCCACTGCAACTCACGACAACGGTCTTCTCTCTCTCTCTTTGGGGTGGAGCCAAGGGTGGCGTAGGGGAGCCATGGCCCCCCATTCCTTCAAAATTCCAATAAAACACATTTAAATCCCACTTATATTTTGACCATTTACCTATATTTCTTAGCTTTTGGCTCAAGAAAAAGCTCTAGCTCCGCCCCTACTCTCTCTCTCTCTCTCTCAGCAACAGTTGTTCTGGATCTATCTTTAGAAATGGCTTCAGATCTCCCTTTGTGTGGCATAGCTGATAATGCAGAAGACTAGATTGGACTCTTCCCAAAGTTTGCCTCTTCCGCACTCTTTTCTTAACTTATGGACCTTTCATTTTTTATGTTACAATTTAACAATAATGACAATTGTTAGAAATAGTAGGGGTAGTTTAAGAAAATATTTAAGGGTAGAGTTAGCCAATTAGTTAAATAGTAAGGGTAGTTTAAGAAATTTGCCCAAAATTTAAATTGCACATGTCATCACAAGATAGATATAAATAATTGACAAAATGCTAAAAATGGATATTAAATTAGGAGTTTAAATGCTGTAGTAGCATGTTTTAAAATTCAGATGCTAAAGTGAGACTGGTCATGGCCCATAACAGGCACTTGGGCAGTAGTCCGTCGCTCCACAAGTCAGCCTTCTCTACTTAGAGCACTCTCCTGGCTCTTAGGACTAAGTAGCTTATCAACTCGTCCCTCACACCGAGACACACACTTAGGCAACAAGGCACAAAGCACACAAGGAAAGAGAGAGAGGGAGAACTCAAAGAACTCTTTGTATTACTCAAGAGAGGGATACAATGCTTGATTGCTAGCTTCTAGAGTGTTACCTCCTCCATCCTCCTCCTTCTCTGTAGGGTCTAATCAATCTTGTCACCTCATGACACTAGCCCCAAAATACAGGGTACTAATCTACAATTTACCCTAAATATAAACCAACAAATAAAATTAGGGGTGAGTAAATGAGTAGGTTCTACTTAGAACTAAATGGAACTGACCTTGAACTGACCCTACCAAATATGTTACATGGTAGGGTCTAGTTCCAAATTCTTGTAACCGACCCCCACCTAGGCCAATTATGGGGTCTAGGGGTTTACCGTTCCTAAACTGACCTTGAACTGACCCTACCAAATATGTTACATGGTAGGGTCTAGTTCCAAATTCTTGTAACTGACCCCCACCTAGGCCAATTCTGGGGTCTAGGGGTTTACCGTTCCTAAACTGACCCAATGAACCAACATTGGTTGCCTTTGGTGGAACCTACCCTGGAACTGAACTTGCCTTGAAATAAACCCCAAAATACTTTTGGGGATGTGAATGTTTGAACCCAAGTACTCATAGTTATAAAAGGCCATGGTCTCACTTGACCAATGTAAATGATTTGATCATTTGTTTTCATGTTAATATTTGAATGTATATAATAAGTAATGTAAAAGGTAATATTTACAAAATTTAAATTTAAATTATAAATTTTGAACCATATAATGATAGTCTACATATTAACTTACTCAATTTACTCAATAGAGATAATGAAATTGTATATATTGGAAAGCAAGTTTTTAAAGAACATGTTTTTTAAGGGAGAAAGTAAATAAAGAATAGGAAGAATAGGTTCCACGGGTAGACCCTGGAACCGACCTTCACAGGATAGGTTCTAGTTCCAAAATCCCAGAACTGACCTCTATAGGGTAGGTTTCAAGTTCTGCCATGGAGCTGAAACGAATCAACCCATGCTCACCCCTAAATAAAATAAGGGAAAATTACATATTAGTACCATGTACTTTGGGCCTACTCTCACTTTGGTCCCCAAACTTGAAAATGTGCCAATGCAATACTTAAACTTCCAAATCGTGTCAATTTAGTCCTTGTCATTTGTGGTCCATCAATTATCTCTATCACGTGAGGACATGTGTGACTTAGAACTTTTAAAAATGCCAAAATTACCCTCCAAAATAAGACAATGTTCATCATCTTCTTCCTCGAGAATCAATATTAAACCAAAACAATATTGACTTATCATATCCATTTTTAACGACAGTATTTCCTTTTCCAACGTCATCTTCCACGTATTAAAACTAATGCAAAGATGTGGTTAATAAAAAAAGGTAGATGACATCCGAAGGGCATTAGTGTCCTTTTACATGCCACTTAACAGCTAGGTAACAGTATGCATTAAATTGGCACGTGGTTCAGTGTCAAACCTAACCGAACCTGGAGTGGAGTTATTGGATTGGAAATGGGCACACGTGGTCTGTCCGAATTGGGTAAACCAGCAAAGGACAACCATAAAGGACCAAGTAGTTCCGGTCCCGTTCACAGATTTCAGAGTATACATCTTGCTTTATCGGTTCGACCGGGTTATATCTGGATGAGCCACCAGGAAGAGCCGTATCGACCCGCTCTAACAAGTTCCAACAGACTATTACATCGGATTCTCTCCTCTTCAGACACAGGCACACAGCGTCACAGACAGAGAGCCAACGGAGCAAGCGTGCGCGGCGCGAGAGTGGGGAGAGTGAAGATGCCGAAGAAGATGGGAATAAACAGTAAAGCCGAAGCGTCTAGGGCACGAAAGAGTGCCACAGAGGCGGAGCGCAAGGATCGAGAGGCTCGCGAGAAGGAAGATCAATACTGGAGAGAAGCCGAGGGCACCAAATCTCGAGCCGCCAAGAAACGCGAAGAGGAAGCCGAGAAGCGTGCAGAGGCCGCTGCCCGCAAGGCCGAAGCCCGACGTCTCGCCGAGCTCGAAGAGAAGGAGATCGAAAAAGCTTCTAAGAAGCCTGACAAGAAGGCCAACCGAGTCTCTATCCCTGTCCCCAAGGTCACCGAAGCTGAGCTCCAGCGTCGTCGCGAGGAGGAGAGGCTTCAGATCCTTCAGCGCGCTGAGGAAGTCAAGAAGCAGCAGAGTCACACTGCCAACGAAGAGGAATATGAGCGCATGGTGCTCGTGTCCAATACTAACCGTGACGATTCCCTTATCGAGGTCCACTCTGTTGAGGACGCTATTGCTCGTATGGCCGTTTCAGATAACCTTCCCCCCGACCGGCATCCAGAGAAGAGGCTAAAGGCATCGTTTAAGGTATTATTATTATTTTCGTTTTAAAGTATTCCACCTGATATTCTTTGCTTTCAGCAATTCGGGCTTTGTTTGGACTCTTCTTGCTGAATTTCTCATTCTCTGGGTTTTAGTTAAACATCAAATACTCGTAAGCAAGAAATTTTCAGGGAAAAAAACACATACATATTCTGCTCCAAGCCTCCAACTTTTGACGGACATGCTTAAGTAGAAATCATCAGTAGGATAGATTGTTGCACTAAGCCAAATAGAGCTCTGATTTATCATTTCTTAGTGCTTTTTATTATCGGTTTTTTGCTTTTCTTTACCTTTTTTTTTTGTTAATTGTAAAAGTGGAATAAGAATAAATTATGGGTGCTTATAATTGCAATTGTCCATTTTTCCTTAAGAATCAATTTTAGGAGAAATGAAAGAGAAAAGGTGATTGCGTATTCTTTTCTCATACATCAATCTATCAAGGAAAGGAATGGTTGGTGGACCTATTGAACATAAGACAATAGTGATGGCTTCTCGCCATAGGGAAATGATGCCATCATCCTTTATGTATCCAAGCAAGGACATGCTTAGGAAGAATGATAATTAGTTTTCCTTTTCCTTGATGTAGTTTTTTTGTTGCCTCTGGTCCGTCTGCCCAATGCTCAGTTGATAGATAGAACTGGGTTTCGTTATGGGAGACTTGTTAAAAGGTATGTGACAAATCTGTGGCAGAAGTTGAAGTATAAATTGGATCAGTCATTGGATGAGTATTTGACATTATGGATACAAGCGAGGGAGGCACATGAGTTGCATGTTGTACATGATATCAATATTTGACAGAATGATAAGAGGTCCTCTCTATATTAATTTTTCTGCATGCATGTAGAAGTGGGGCGTCTGCTTTATATAGTAAAGATACATTGATGGAAGCAAAGACTTGCAATAGTTAAAACTTGAATGGTCTTCAAGAAAAGAATACATAGAAGTTCTCAAAGAAGTTGCTAGATTTCTTTATCACAGCACAGCTACACTTAAGAGTTATGAAAAGTATCAAGAGAAGGTCTGGATGGATAAAATATGGGGAAAGGAGAAGAATCTTACCAGTAAATAATGTAAAACTAGTACTTGATATAATTCAGTAGTAGAACGCAAGGAAGTTAACACATGTTTATTATGGAATAATAATATAATGAAATGTAATGTTACAGTAGTTCATTGGAATTTGGATACATAGGTAGTATTTTGGAGGATTTGTTTGTGCTTGCCTCAAGGGGTTTGGTACAAGGGTGGCTTGTAGAATCAGGAATGCAAGATGTTTTACATCACATTAGCTATTTGAAGTAATGCAATTGAGGAAAAAAGAGATTGTGGGTTTTACATGCTTGAAAATGTTTTATATGTTTGATTTTATTTTTAAATTTTCATTTTTTTGAATGGTAAAGTAAAAGACTTTTTTTTTTCATTTGAATGTGCTTTAAATGTTATGTTTATGTATTTTAGTTTTAGATAATAGGTTTAAACATTTATTTTAAAATTTAAGCTTAATATTTTTTTATTTTTTGCATTTTTTAAATTTTCTGACATTTGTTTTGGCATTTCTTTTGTATTTTTGTGCCTTGCTTCAAAAAGGTGCATGCCTCGCCTTGCGCCGGGTCCAAATTGACCCTTGCGCTTTTAAAACATTGATAGGGACCATTGCCTTACTTTGAGAATCAAGAAATACAAAGATAGCTTAACATGTGGAGCAATGTATTCATTTGGTTACAACACTTTCTTTTGACCCTCAAATAAAACATGGCATGCTATCAACCAAATGAAAAACTAGATCACCTAGTGAGCGCTTGCCTGGATGATTTGATTTCGATGAATTGATGTGTTCACATACTTGCAACCCTCTAATAAAACATAGGCATGCTATTAATCAAATGAAAAACCAAATTATCCAGTGAATGTGTCTTGTTATTGCTACCTCAAATGGCACACTAATAACCCCACTATCATATGAAAAAATAGAGATTGCCTCTAGGGTCTACTATCTTATTATGACGATTTAGATATACTAGGGTAATGCGACCCTCCAATGAAACACAAGCATGCTATAAATCAAATGAAAAACCAAATCAATGAATGAGTGCATGTTGGGGTGATTTGGATTCGATGAGTTTACATGGTCACAATACTTTCTTGCAGCCTTACAATAAAACACAAACATGCTAAGAATCAAATGAAAAATCAAATCACTTAATGAATACATGCCCTTTTTTGTCCCGAATTATTCAAAAATAACCCACTAACATATAAAAGATAGGGACTACCTCTAAGGTCTACTACCTTACTATGACAATCAAGAAATGCCAAGGTAGCCTAACATGTGTTGTGATGCGTTCACATGGTCACAATTCTTTCTTTTAGCCTTCCAATAAAATGCTAAAATGCTATTAATCAAGGGAAAAACCAAATCACCCATTGAGTGCATGCCTGGGTGATTTGATTTTGATGAGTTGATGTGGTCAAAGCACTTTCTTGCGACCCTCTAATAGGTCACAGACATTTTAAAACCAAATAACCTTTGTGAGTGTATGCCTAGGTGATTTGGTTTTGGTTAAGTCTGCATGGTGACATGGTCAATGAGTGCATCCTTGTTATTGCTACCCCTAGTGATACATGAACTACCCCTATTATTTGAAAAAATAGAGACTATTTCTAAGGCCCACTACCTTTACTAGGAATAGCTTAACATGTGGAATGATGAGTTCACATAATCATAACACTTTTGGCTTCTTAAAAAAAAAAAAAAACCAAACATGCTATAAGTCAAAGGATAAACCAAATCACCCAGTGAGTAGATGCTTAGGTTATTTGGTTTTCATGACAACAATTTCTTTCAACCATCCAATAAAACACAAACATGCTGCTATCAATGAAATGAACAACCAAATAACCCAATGAAGGCATGTTTGGTATTGCTACACCAAATGGGAATCTAGGATATACTACCAAACTATGACAATCAGGTAATACCAAGTTAGCTTAACATGTAGAGTGACACTTAGGCAATAAGATGGAGGGTTGTCTCACTTAATTGACAAGATATTTTTTATATGGTGTCCTTGGATACTTTTATTTTCTCAACTTTTTAAGATTATAATACTAGTTACTGTTATTTTTAATTATCAAAAAAAAAACTTTGTAAGATTATAATAGTAAAATGCACATTATTAAACTAAGATATTCAGTTTCAGTTAAAATACTGGTTTCTTTTCATTAATTTTCTTCAGACCCTCTATTTTATTAAATTTCTTTTCTTTCTTTAATTTTTTTTTCATGAATATGTTGATTCTCTATTTTTAAACGAAGTTTATACATTTTTTATGAAGATTATGGACAATAATAGTGAAAGATGGTTTCTGCTTGATATGGAACCTAGGGAATTACCCTAGGATTCATGGTTTTTATATTATTAAAAAAAAAAAAAGAAACATCACCTAGGTGACTTAGCCTCAGCTTGGCACCTTGAAAACTATGGTATGGAAAACTCTTGATGAAGGCTTTAATGAGGTCCCGACATCAATATTGAGCATGGAGTGTACTAGAGATTCTTTGGAGGGGAAGGATTCTTTGGAGGTGTACTAGAGCAGCAATACTTTGGACCATCTGGGAGGAAAGAAACAATAGGATATTTGAAAGTAAAAAAAAAAAAAGCAAGGAAGCTTTAGTTGAAACAATAACATTGAGGGTGGTTCATTGGGTAAAAAGTTTGAAGCTGTTTTCAGCCTTTAAGGTCGAAGATTTCTTCAGGGTTTGGGGACTTATTGCTGCTTCATCATCTATGAGACGACAGTTTGTTGAGACTTGGTCCCCTCCAACATATAGTTGGAAGAAGCTAAACTTTGATGGGAGTTGTGTGGGTAACCCAGGCCTTTTAGGTATTGGGGGGGCCATTAGAGACAAAAATGGTTCCATCATTGCCCTGTACTCCGGTCCTGTGGAGGTAGGTGATGTGACAAGGGCAGAGTTTCTAGCTGCAGTATATGGGGTTGAGAAGGCTAAAGAGTTGGGGATCAATAGACTGATCATCGAGGGAGATTCAAAAACTGTGATAAAATGGTTGCAGAAAGGGGAAGGGGTGACATGGCAGTTGAAGAATGATTTCAGAAGATTTTAATGGATGTCAAGGAACATGTCAATTCAGGTGGGATGGGTAAGGAGATCTGCCAGCAGTTTGGCAAATAGCTTAGCAAAGCAAGGGGTTCAAAGAACGTATATGTTTTGGGCACATTTGTAATTCTGTACTGGGTCAGCTTACTTTGCTGATTTCTTTTGTAACTTGTTTTTGTATCCTAAAGTATTTTAATCAATAATGTTTTAAAGTTATTGATAAAAAAATATTGAGCATGGAGTGATAAGTCATAATAAGCATTTACCTTGATTAATTGACATTTCTTCCATAAATATCTTTTCTATTTAGAACTAAAATGCACAAGGTACTGCAGTTGCAATCCATAGTAGAATCATATATTTTGACTTATAATAAACAATTTAGAACTTAGCAAGTTTTGTTAAGGTTTTCAGTTCAAAGACAAAATCGAAAATGTGGTGTAACCTGAACAACTTACAAATTACAACATTATGAAAAAAAGACCATTACCCAACCTTTGAATTTTTACAGCATAACTTAAAAAAAATATATATAGTAATTTTCATCTCTGATCCATATGCTGTCTGTATATTGGCTTTAAGTCTCTCAGATTACTTTAAATTGTATTACTTCTGTCTTTTTAGAGAGGTAGTTGATGACAAAGTACTTTATTCAAAAAATGGTTTACGGAAAATTAGGAAGAATGCATTTTCAAAAAAATATTACTTTCCAGAAAATGTTTATCTTCCAACCTGGTGGAGTTCATTATGTTTTTCTTTTCACAATTAGTAAAGCACTTGATGATGAGTAATAGTTCCTTCTTGTTTTTTTTTTTTTTAATATGCAATTATTTATCAGGTAGATGTGACTAGGCTTGAGTTATTCCAGAGAAGTAAGTTTCATAATCTTGTTAATAATTACTTCCTATCTGGATACAAACTGGTGGGTTGACAGTTCCATTGAATTGTTTGACTTATTGTGGTTATTGTACTCCACCAATTGCCACTTGAATTTCCTTGTTCTTACTGTGGCATCTATTGAATTTTACAACACATACAGGCATTTGAAGAAGCAGAGCTCCCCAAACTGAAGGAAGAAAAGCCAGGTCTTACCCACACTCAATACAAAGACATGATATGGAAGCTATGGAAGAAATCTCCAGATAACCCTCTTAACCAGGTAAGCTTCCCATAATAGACTTGAGAATTTATTTGTTGATTTGATAGTCTGAGTCATCATGATCATCATTTATCCTCTACTTTATTCCACCTATTTGGATTGGCAATGCAATCCCTGTTTCTTCGTGCAGTTATGCTAGGCCCCTATAATCCTTTCTCACTTTGTGAACCCAAGTTCTTGGCTGTTTATCATTTTTAATAGTTTTCTGATCTTTACTGTTATTATTGACAATGTTACACCAACATGCTTTGATAGATGGTGACTTCAGGTCCCATGGAAGTCCTGCTAAGAAACCTATCTACTTTTAATGTGAGCAGTTTAAAATGTTCATTAGTTTATTCATACAGTATAAATGGTGTTTTATCTTAAATTGTTATCACTAACCACTTGAAAAATTGCAGATCTTGTTGCTTTAGTTGCATGTGTTTTGCAGAAAAGATTGAAAAGATAAATTTGTTTTTCTCCGTGAGGAAAATATAACTACTTTTTAAAATCTTTGAAGAGCAATACTAATGAAAAATTTTGGATCCTTTTTTTTCTCCTTGAGAGGTAAGAAGATTCTGGTTGGAAGATGATCTGTCCTCTTCCTCCGGTGAAAATGAAAAAAAAAAAAAAGAAGCCAAAAAGGTTTTCCGGGATTTCAGATATGAAAAGAAGTTATTGTTGAGTGCAGATAATCTTAAAGATTTTATGTTATGTGGCTAGCATTTTCAAGTTTTTATGCTAGTATGATCAAAACATTAACTACAAAACTAGTCAACTGACTAAATCAGTTGAGGGCCATCGTAACTGTATTAATAACTAGTTGCTTGATTGCTGCAGTCATCAGATGGTTGTTGTTGTTGTTATTGTTATTATTTCAGTAACATTGCATCTTTCTCATTGGTTTGTGTGTGTATGTGCACACACACATGTGCAAGCACTCAAGTGGGTCATATAAGTTGCATGGTTAGAGATGCTCTAACTGTATTAATAAAATATTGTAGAATAGGTAGGTATATTTGTCTAGTCAGACCCTTAGGTAGACATTTTGGAGCAAAAACTTTGCAGAAATTATGTTTAAGGCTGGGTAGTAGTGGTTCAGGAGGCTGTTTGTCAGAGATTTATTTCACTGCTCCTACAGTAAAATATATAGTGAATTCTTTGACGTGGATCCTCCATGCCATTTAGAATGAAGAATCTTTCAGCACATAAACAGTTTAGGCACTGGTTGTCTAAAGGGATATTAGAGATAGTATATTTTTCAAATCAACAGCTTTCTTTGTCTGCTTGTTCAATATGCAGATAACAAAGATGAGAAAGGAAATCCCATATTTCAAAGTTAGCCTGATTGGATGTCCCAGGACTGTATGATATACATGTTGGGCTAAATTTGGATAGGACTGATACATGACTCTGGGATCCTCTGTATATTCATTTGTCCAGCCCCACTAGCTAGATTTTTATGGGGTCAAAAAATGTTGCCCATTGCAGGTTATAACCATGTGATTTTATAGTTTCAAAAGGGGGGAAAAAAAAAGAAAAGAAAACAACTTACCGTAAAAGTAACTCATGAGAGAGAGAGAGAGGGGTCCATTCATGGTGGATGTGTCAAATTCCAACCCCATGGATCCTTTAGATGGCACCTTTTATATGTGGTTTTCCTGTCTACTTATAGGCATGTGATGATAGAATTCAAAAAAAGCAGTACTGGGTTCTAATACTCAGTGATTTAAAAGGTGCACCTAGGCGCACAGGCGAGGTGCATTTTGGGGTATGCGCCTTGCCCAGATCCTAGGTGCATGCCTGGTGTGGCTAGGCCTTGTGCCTCAGCCCAGTTGTGTGTCTTCTTAAAATTTTGCGTTTTTTGCTTTTTTTTTTTTTGAGTCTAATGGCTGGGCCGGGAGCTTTGCCGGATTGCCATTCGTGCCTCAATGTGCAATCCATGAGATCATTCACCGGTCACGGATTGCCATTCGTGCCTCAACATTCACTCAGAAGGAGTTGATCCCAATTCTCTGCATAACAAGCGAGACCTTGCCAGCCTTGTATAAAATCTTAAATCTCCTCTTGAAGACTTGAACTCATAGGCTGATTTGCATGTGCAGGTAGCGGAGTGATTGCATCTCGCCTGCCTCCATGGGTTATTGTTTTCTCTAGCTTCTGTATCTTCTCTATATGTTGCTCCTATGAACTTTGGACCCACAGAGCTGTATGAGTTTGTGGTATTTTTCCTCACCGGGTCCTGGAGTGATGCTTTTTAATTCCAATCTGTTTCGCCTTGGCCACTCTACTTAGCCTGCAATTTATTTGTTACGCTGGCAATAAAACGTTGGCAGGTGTTGTATATATTAAGGAGACGAAATAGTATTTGAAATAATAGATGTTCGGTCGCTCTCTTTATCAACTGCAGCACAAGTTTATTCATTATTATATTGCACACAACCAGGCAAATGCGAACTTTTTACAGAAGATCCATGAATATAAGGCCTTCTTTGGTGGCCCAGGGATTTATTATATAGAATTAATTACTTATATAGCATATTTGAAAAACTACTTATATATATCCTGAATTTTTAAAATTAATTTAAATATGCCTTCTCGACCTTTCAAAGATTAAATCTAACAGATAAAACTTAAGGCTGTGTTTGGTTGCAGTGTAATTTTATTTGTATTAATTCAAATATATGGGGAATGCAAATGCAAATGATAAATATGCAAAACTTGATTTAATTTTGTTTTGGATTTTACTTTATTTTGCTTTAGGTCTTGTTTTATTTCAGCAACCAAACAAACTAAAATAAAATTTGAAACAAAAATTAATCAAAATTTACACTCGAAACATTTACACTGCCGTAGTTTCTCATCTGCAACCAAATACAGCCTAAAAGAAAATTCACCTTAAATGTTTCAAAACATGTTCCCACTTTTTCTGTAAAAGAAAAATAGCCACCTCCAATTGAGAGCACACTTGGGAATGATTAAATGTGACCTGAAGTTTCAGGGTCATAATCTAGCCGGTTCCACCAAAAATTAATGCGGTCGCTGATCGTACATCAAGTCATCAACCAATGCTCCAAATGATCAAACGTACTTGGAAAGACTGCCCCTGTTAAAATCAGAAAACGCTTCTGTACCCATGCGTTTGGCTAGAAAACGCATGGATGAGAGATGGGATTTAATCCTTTTTCCGGCATTTGAAACAGAGAAGATAGATAAATAACTAATGGATAAAATTTCATCGACTGGTTTCAATTTCTCTGGCCTATTGATTATTTTCTCTGCAATTTCATAGTTCAAGACAACTACACTCCTTATTTATTTTTCCAAGGAAAAAAAATACCAAACTCGATTTTCATGGGAGAAATTTACAGAGAAACTACATATGCTAACTTTTCAATATCTGAGTTTTCTGCAAGTTTTTTAAATTATTGGCACTGACAGATCAAAGAAAACTACAGCTTTTAAGCTTTTAATACGAGAAAAAGCAACAGAGAAAAAAACTTCTATTTTATTATTTCGTTGCTCTGAAAAAATAGTAAAGTATAACCAAAATGAAGAAAATCCATCCAAAGACAGACACTAAGAATGCTTTTTTTCCAATGTTTCCAATATTCAGGGGCAAATTTGGTATTATAAAAACCTTTGGAGTGAACTGTTAATGGCTCTAAACAGTGCAATGATAGAAGTCCTATTTATGTTTTGTGGGGCTGGTCAAATAAGTTAATTTTGAAAGCTCAGGGTATATAAAAATAGTTTCTCAAATGTATTAGGGTATATAAATAATTAACCCTACTTATGTATTAATGACATCCATATAACGTCTGCAGGGTGTATCGGTACTATTTATCCTACGATTTTTATTTTTTTAGCTTTTTCAAAATTTCAATTTTAAACATTTTTATATTGTTTAATTAATAATAAACATTGATTTTCTGAAAACACTTTAAAATAGATATATGAAAAATTAAAGACACAATATGATCATATCAATACTTTGAACCTTGAGTATTGAACCCCTGTCAGGGCCTAAAAAGGAAAGAAATACAAAAAAACAAAAAAAGACAAAGCAGATAAAAAGAACAAGAATATATGGGAGAATGTTAATGGCAGGATTATGGCAAATTAAGATGCTCTAGCCACCTGCCCTTGTCAATTGGATGTTGGGCTTCACTTGCCGATGTTATTAGCACTTCGACTATCTTGATATCTTTGCTGGTATCTCACGGGATGTAAGTTGGTCAAGTGGGGTAATTGCCCTACTTTCCTGCATTAATGAATCCCACATTAAACAAAATTTCTGGAGTAACCGATACGGTACCCTCTTGAAGGGTGGCAAAATTGCTTACCCACCGGCCACCCCCAAAAATGCTAATCCCTTCCCGCCTCTTTCTTTACACAGGTAAGTGAATATGTAGAAGAACGTTGGCACTGAAGTTATTGTTGCCTGAAAAACACTTGACTACATGAACTTAGTTACCCACCCATGTAATCGAAAATAAATGGCACCTGAGTTGAAAGACGCGCATAGCACGAAAACATGAGAATGGCCATTTTGCCATACGCTTGTAATTTCATTTATAACTAGTCACTAACATTTTTTGCCCACGCACTCTACTCTCAAGCTAACGTCTCTAATCTTTAATCTTTCGTCTCTACCACCAGGGCTGGAGCCATGGAGCCCGGAAATTTCTCAGTGGAGAGTAAATGCCATCAATAAGAGATGATCAAAAATTAGGTTTTTGAGGTCTTAATTCTTAAAAGTTAAAAACATTCTCTTGATAAGTTCAAAGTAACCTATAAATACATCTAAACTGTATTGTCAGTTGTCACACCTGGACCTGACCGGATGGTTCAGCTAATTATCAAAAATTAAATGTTCGAGGGTTTCGATTTTACAGTAGAATTTTTTCACAAATCACAAGTCAAGGCGGAAGAGGAAAGGCGCTGCAGTGAAATTTTGGAATTTAGCTCTGAAATTTTGTTACAGAGAAACTGAACCATGATGACATTCATGCCTCCATTATTGAGGTGTTGTACTGATATCCCTTACATAGAATTTACTTGTTGATCGCCTTACAGGACCAGGCTTTCAGCTACAATACTTTTGAAGCAAACAGGATTTTCAGAGTATGTTTCAAAGGTTTAAAAGAACAAAATGCTTTGGTAGCAGCACTGATGTACCTTTATGATCAGGATGATCGATGCCTTAGTTAGACTCTTATGTCTCAGTGGGATGATCTGCTGTTCCAAAGCACAGCCAAGGCAATGAGTTTGATAGCCTTCAGATTAGAATTTTGGAACAGGTGGTGGAACCCTCCAGCTATTAAAAATTTCAAATAGAATGGGGATTTTTTTTTTTTGATGAATAGAATGGGGACTTATTGCTCCTTTGATTCTATACTCCTATACTTTGAGATTGAGATATTCACATCAATCACTACTAGAACCAAGTAGAAAGCTTGGCTTGCGCAGACAAGATGTGTCCAAAGGCCAACTATTTGTTTCAAGAAACCATTTCTGTAACTTTTTCACATTTTCTGGGTTTTCAAGTATTTTTTGAATTTTCATTTAGTTTGGACCAGGTTGGACCCAATCCAATCCATTTGCATTTCAAATGGACTGGATCCAATTCAGTTTGTATAGATTTTTGGATTGGATTTGGTCAAATCCATTTGTAAATAGACCAACGTTGGATCTAAATGAACTGGACCAAATCCAGTCCGATTGACACCCCTACTCATAGGGTGTAGATATGTACAACTCACCCAGACCCTCAAAGAACACTCAAACACCAAGAGTAATACCACAAAACCACTTATGAGCAGTTTGCACTCAATCCCCATGCTGCAATGAACTTGCAGTTTGCGATGAACCCGCAAAACATTAAACAAAGTTACGATAAACCCACAGCTCACCAGGTTCAGTTAACGCCCGAACCTAAATAAACCTCAGAAAGACCCATCCAAAAGACCTAAACACACTTAAGTGTGCGATGAAACCACACCCGCTACAACGTGCAATAAACTCACAACTTGCAAGCCCACTTTGGATAACGAATAGAAAGGATAGTAGGCCAAGCCCACGGCGAGGCCCACATGTGCCCAAACACACGCGAACCCAAGACAGCAGAAGACTTTGCAAGCCGCCACGTAGATTCTCACCAGAGGACTTTGAATGAATATTGATTCTCATCATTCCATCTCACCCCTTCATTTTTTTTTTTCTGTTATTGTTATTTGTTTTGAATAAAACACCTCCAACAGTGGGTTTTGCAATGAACCAGGTATGATGATACATTTTCTCCTTTTATTCATACAATAAGCATGGATTGATTGAAATCCCCTTGTCATTAGATACGTTGGTTTGTTTTTTAAATTATATTGAGTAATGTGGTTGAGTCATTAGGACATGTGGAGCTTGTGCGAGAACCTCCATGGACTAGGCAATTTATTGGTGGCAAAGAAAATGTGTTTAATAGGAATAAAATGTTGTTTATACATGTATAAACAATGGACGGTAATATTGTCTTTATATTGAAACAAGCACATTTTGAACCAAGCAATGTTCATAAATAAGTGTTTTTTTATTAGAAAAAAGCACCTTACCAAGCAGATTTTGAGCGTCTTGCCAAATGCAGCCTAAATAATATTGTTCAAATGACTATAAATAAGACAATACATATGAGAAATAAATGCTTTGGTAGTCTATAGGAAGAATTTCATTACATTCAACATATGGGAAATTTAGACATCATGCAACATTACTAATAATGCATTGACTAACGTTTTAACTTCCAATTAATTAAAATTTTGAAATACATTTTAATGCATCTATCATCAGCATCATATATTATGATGCTTAATCATCATCAATTACTACATGTCATCATCATCATCATTATTATCCAATCCTTATCTCAATTATATGGATGGATTATATGGGTCGGCTACATGAATTCTGTTTTGCCAATCCATTTTTTAATGTCATATCCATTGTTAAATTATTAGTGCTTAAATGAATTTTGAATTTTTACTTTTGCTTCTATCCATCTATTTTTTGGTCTACCGCTTGCCTTTCTGGCCCCTTCAACTTGTAACAGATGGTGCTTCTTATGGGTGTTGTTAATGGTCTTCTGTATGCATGACCAAAACCATTTGTCTACTTTCTCTCATTTTATCTCCTATCGAAGCTACTCCTAAGTTCCTACGAATAACTTCATTTCTGATCATCAATTACTATATGTATTAACTCATTAAAATATTCTTTATTATTTATCAAATTCTTAATTAGTAACCATAGAAATTATATGTTTACTCTTAAATATATATTAGATTTATATCCATGATAATAGTAGAATATTCATAAATCCAACTATCAAAAAACAAACATACGCAAATGCAACTACTAAAGTCAAATAGTCAATTATATTTTAGTACTCGCCTAAATCATGTTCATGTTCAAAGTTTCAAATTCAACTATTGAATTTTAAATACTAGAAAACATTTTAGATTGGATCTATTATTATTTCTGTAAATTGCTAGAAGTTAAGTCACATGGTCAACCTGATCTTAATATACTAGCTAAAATCCTTCTACAAACTAAATTATTTAGTAATTAAAGAAAATATCGGTCTTAACTTATAAATAGCTTATGTGTGAGAATAATGATAGGGCAACCACAAATTCATTAATCCAATATACAAATCATATACAATTATGGAATTCATAAAGTTTTATTATTCAAATAATTAATTTATATTTACTTTTGTATATGTACATTACAAAAAATTTAAGAATCTTATCTTTTAAATAAATTTTAATGGATCCATGGGTATGGCAGATTATCTAAATATCCAAATTATAATTCTTCCTTCATGTAAAACAATAAAAACTTTATTTTTTTGTGATTTTTATGTCCTCATTTAAAAAAAAACCATATTTTCTCAACAGCACAAGGAAATGGTACTTGTGCCGTTGAGTATTAATGGACCTATAGTGATGATCATAACCGCCACTAAAAGTCTCTAACCACGAAGGTGCCAACATAGATTATTAAATTGCTATTCAATAATCATCCAAACTTTTTTGACAGTTTTTGTTGGCTTCCCAACAGTTTGAATCGCCAACATATATCCAATTACACCTCTGGTCCAAATTTGTTAGATCTATGTATTTTTCCCATAAATTGGAAAATCTGAAAATTATATAAAAAAATGTGATGTGGATTTTCCTTGACACAACTACATTGTGGTTTTTTTAGCATTGACATATTTCAGTACTGCATTTGCAGATTGTTTAGCAAAACATTTTTGCCTGAACTGTACATATGGATAGCCCATAAAAGAAAGGAAATGGGCAGGCTTTGAGAAGGAAATAATTTCATACCAAACTTGGTTGTTCTCATCCATCTCTATGGAAAACCGTTCTTCACCAGCCTGCATTGAACAGAATTTTATGATATAAGATATACAACGGAGTTTAAACATTCTTTGTAAGTGCATTACTTGAACCATATCCAGTTACCAACCTGATTTTAGAAAAACGGAGGGAAACCAAATCTACATAATTTACTTACATGGCCTGGTTTTTTTGTTTTCAGAAATTTTGGTGCATTACTTGAAGAATGGAAATTACATGAATCATATTCACTCACCAACCTGATGGACCATATCTTTAGTTTTCATCTATTATACCATTTCCCTGGTCTAGTAGTCTAGACTACTTGAAACTTTTGCAGTTTGCACATCAATCTGATTTTCAAGATTGGTTGGCTTTTGAAACACTACTTCCATGGTGACTGTAAATCCTTGGTTACAAGATGATGAATAGAAATACGCTCTCTTTTATAATATTAATTAAAAAATGGATGAAGGGCAAAATTTTCCTATAAAGCAAGACAAGGACTTGTGTTATTTTGGGTATTTAGAAAAGGGCCCTTTAGAAAACCATGTCCAAGAGCTACTAGCTCTAGAATGGATGGTTAGCAAAATTATTGACAAGAAAAACCCTAGAGATCAACTGTCAATTTTGCTCGAAGTGGAAGTGGAAATGGATGGATACTACTAACCAGTAGGTGACCTTGAAGGGTGCCGCTGCCGAAGCCGAAAGAGGCCTTGGGCTTTTTCCGGTCTCTATTTTCTTTAATGTACGCTACCTGGAGAGGCATCATAATCCAGGGAAGAAACATTTTGGCACAGACACAGAACTTCTCCCCGGCTGCGATAGAAGTCTTGGGATCGACGAATGCCCAATTCAAACCAAAATGCCTGCAAAATTGAAGGAAGAGGAAGAATTAGGATTTCCTCTTTCTTTCATTTTCAACTAGGGTTTCTATTCTGAGTCCCTTCAGAGATTAATTTAATCAAGGAACAAAAACCTCCAGGTTTGAAGAGCGGTCTTGCTCTTTTCATAGGTCTCGGGACCGCAACCGACCAATATGCGGTTGTGATTGAGGAAGAAGCCGTCTTTCGAGAGGTCTCCATCATTTTGGAGGGCGGAGAAGGGCTTGGAGGTGGCGCCTCTGTACTTGGAGTCGTAGTTGAAGTCCCCTGACCTGTGAGTGAATCACTAGAGACTAGAGTGAGCAAATCCATCTTTAAGAGCAAAGATGGACATAATTTGGCTCAGAAACATTTCTTTCTAACCTAAAAATTTACTTTCTTTATCGATATAGAAGAAGATGAACAACTTGATCCAAAGAGTGAGTGTGTGTCATTTACTTGTTAATGCACTCCTGCTGCTGTCGATGAGACGGCCGCGTCCAGCATAGGAAAACCATCTCTCTCGCTCTCTCGCTCTCTCTCGCTAAACGACTAACGGGGCCCTTCAATTTGCATGTCCACACTATGCCCACCGTGAAACGAGTCCCACCGATTTACTTATTTGGACCTTATTTGGACCATAAACCAAATATCATCCATCGGAATGTGATCTTCTCCTCACACGGGCGCCTCACGAGATCAGATCTGCTCCTCACACCTAGCGCCTCACACGCACATCCTATCATGCATTGGGAACATCTCTCGTACTTATTAGTTATTATTCACGACAGTTGTTCTCAATGCATAGTGGATGTGCATGTGAGACGCCCATTTGTGAGGAGCAGATTCCGTCACGCGCCTCACATGCACATCCACCATGCATTGGGAACATCTCCCGTGAATAATAATTTATAAGTACGGTCAAGGTTCAAAATATCGATATGCCCGATACGCCGGTAGAGGCGTATCGAGAGAATCAATGCTGTTTTTTATTGGTTTTTTTATTTTTTTTCACAACCGGTTTAGGGCTCCACCCCTTGAACCGGTCAGACCCCCGATACACCCACTATAGGGCATATTGGAGGGGTCCCAGAACGATACATATCGGCCAATATAGGCTGTTACATGTCGATACTTTGAACCTTGAGTACGGGAAATGTTCCCAATTAGACCTGTTCATGGGCCGGGCTCAGGTCGAGCTTTCACTCTGTATTAATAGATTTTTCTAAGGCCCGAGCTCGAGCCCGAAATTTAGCCCATGTTGTTACTACTGCTGAGTCGAGCAGAGCCGAGCTCAGGCCAGGCTTTTTTGACAAATCCCGAGCCCGGCCCGTAACACAATCGGGCTTACTGTGTTAGGCCCGATGTCAGGCCCGCGAGCCTAATTACATGACCAAGCCCGACCGAGGTGCAGACCGGGCCGAGCCGGGCCATCGGGCTACCCGGCCCATGAACAGGTATGTTCCCAATGCATGATAGGATATGCGTGAGGCACGTTTGAGGCGCCCTGTGTGAGGAGCAGATCCGGTCTCTCATCCATCTGAAAAAAAAAATCAAGAGGTTACGTGGTGGTGACCAGTGAGATGCGCTATAAGGAGCAGATCCAAACTCAGTGGTGAATAATGAGAAAGAAGACCTGTTCATGGCCAGGTAGCCCCAGTGGCCAGCCTGGCCCATTCTTAATTGAGCTTGGGCAAAATTTTAGACCTACAAGTTCAGACTCAGGACCTAGGTGGCTTAGTAAACCCATAATTTGGCTTTGAATTTTAGATATTATCCTATCATTACTGAAGGGGATTTCAATCTTGTTATTGCCAGTCTTAAGCAGATCTTTACTCTTTGGAAGATAAGACACATCAACACGAACTCCATCAAACTAAAGGACAAGTTCCATAGAAGACTGGCTTATAGGCATTTATACAAAGATCAGGCTCAGGGCCTCAGGCTCAAAATCTAAACCCGATGATCAGGCTGGGTCAGGCTTGGGCCTGAACATATTTTGTTAATATAAAGGCAAAACCTAGCTCGAAGCCGGACCATGAAGTTTGAGCTGTAATGATTCCAAGCTCAAAATGCAGAAGATTAGACAGTACTGACTACTGAGGACCCGTTCCACGGGCCTCAATCGACGAGTTACGGGATGCATTGCAAGCAAAAACCCTGCAAACACCGTCGACTGGACCAGATGGCATCGTCGCCAACGGACCCAATTGCTCCGTGATCAAGTTGCAGACTGTTGGAAAACGTTGGATCTGTACCCTTCGAAGAATACATGTGAAGGACAAAAAATTACCAATTACAAACAAAACGTTATTAACTTCTGGCTCCAAAGTCTACCTGAATACTGATGTGGCAATCTGGTGCAAAGTGCAATGAAACACATCCGTCACCAAGCACCTAAGACGGTGCTGAATCAGCTTGACTTAGTTTTAAGGCCGGTCGGCCTTGTCCACCCTCACTTGAGTAAGGATTTAAAACGTCCACCAGAGTGCTTATGATGCGATAATTCACCAAATGTGCCTTCGCTGAGCACCAAATTAGTAAACATTGCTTGGCAATCAATACAGTCTAAACTTCTACATGCCTACAACTTGGCACCATTCACAAATGACAAATCCAATCAAAATCCTTAAAAAGCAGCAGAACATCCTTTGTTTTCAAAACAGTGGCCTCATTTCAACCAAGACAAGTACAAAGTAATTAACTATTTAACCCAATCTGCAGGTCTTGAGAAACTTGTGTTGTCTAAGCTACAACAATCTTCAAAAGACCATATTGTTGACCCCCACCCCTATTCCCCACCCAACACCAAATAAAAGAGAAACTCACCACCCTATAAATTTCGTTTCTCAAAATAGAAGTAAAGTAACACACCATTAAATCAGCTTTTAACGTGCCTGATCAAGTAGCAGGAACTCAATCTGTGGACCGACGACAATATATGGTTAGACAAAAAGGGCAGGCCTATGAGGCTCAAAATTGCCTGCCAGTTTTCACATTCTATCTTCTCTTCTCCGTGGGGCACAAGTTATGATTTCATCAACTCTGAGTATCATCTCAGCAGCTTCAGTCGCAGAAAGCAGCACAGCCTGTTTGACCTTGAATGACTCTGAGATTCCAAGCTTCTCCATATCTCCTACCTGTGAAAACAATAATATGGATGGAAATTAGAAATTATCAAACAAATAGTTTACAAATCCTAAACCCAAGTATGAGACGCATGACAACTAATACCAAGAGTTTACATGGAAAATCCCAAGATACCAGTCCATACGCCTCAACAAAAAATCTAGAAATAATGTGAAAAGAGTGGAAGAAATATAGGAATTGATCAAAACATCAAATGACTTTCATCAGAAATAAACCAAGGATGCACTGTTTTCCCCAACTTGCTACTTTCTTAGGATTAAAAAACATAACAGCACAAATTATGGGATGATCTTTTTTTTTTGTAAAACAATTCTGGGATGATAATAAGGGTATATGGCACTCCACGGGATTTCCTAGATAGTAAAAGTGGCCACATAGGATAATTGACAAACGTAAACAAGAAAACATGCATAAGGTATGAAAGTAAATGTAATTCACAGAAAGGAAAAGAGTAAAATTAGATCTTTTCTATCAATCACTCTATTCTCTAGTAAGCCAATAAAGCCTCCTTCTACAGTCAGTCAACCGTTGATACATAGTGTTTTGTTGTCATCACTTACAGCTCCAGAGATGACATCAATCCCTGCAGTACACCCCTCCTTGTGATGCTCAGCACGAAGCTGAGCAATCAACTCTGCACTGTCCAAACCCGCATTGTCTGCAATAGTTGTAGGAATGGCCTGGAGGGCCCGTGAAAATGCCTCAATTGCATGAGACTTCTTTCCAGGAGTCTTGCGGGCCAGCTCATCAACTTCTTTCGCCATCACCATCTCAGGCCACCCACCTCCAAGTAAAACTCTGCTATCAACAACAGTTTGGGAGAGTACACATAGGGCATCATGTAGAGACCTTTCTGCCTCATCAAGCACATGAAAGCTGCAAATGGAAGATCAGAAATGTCAAATTCAATAACTCAAGCCCAAAGAAAGATCACAAAGCACTACTAGAATTCCAGTTTCTTCCTTTTTTTTTGGTATTTGGTGCTATTTGGTGCAATGCACCATTAATCCCTTTTTCCCCAAAGTGCTGGTTGCGGGATTTGACGTTGGAACAAACCAGCTAACATACCAATGATCCAGCCCTCGGTTGGTATTAGAATTCCAGTTTCGATGTATGTAAAACCACAAATGCCCAAACCTTGATATTCGTCCATATAGAAAAGTAAAATGGGTAAATAAAATTTTTGTTGGGTAAGCAAGCAGGATCTAGATTAGCAAAGAAGAAAATAGCATTTTTTGTTAACTTCACCATTTTTCTTGATTAATCATCATTGATGATTGATGTGTAAGAAAGAAAACAGGACAGTCGGACTGCTTGAATCAGAAACTAGAAACCAAAACAGTTTGGGGGTTGCCAAATTCTTAAGAGAGATTGACTTGGTCAAACTTACCGTAAATACATGTTTTAACAATTATTATAAACTACAACGTTGATTGTTTTAAGCCTATTTTGATCATTTGATGAAAATAGCTTAAACGATAATCTGGAACAATATGCATTTTTTTTAATTGTTATTTGTTTTGCATTCTGCATTTAACCAAGTTTAACAGTCAAATCAGACGGTAAGACCATTCGACCAGTGACCAAGCAACCAATATGGTCTTGGGTCCGGTCCAAGTATGACAACACTGGATAGAAGCATACCAACTTTGGTGGTTTTCAGTTGGACTCAAATTGGGGTATTAATGTAAGTTCCAGGGGCCAACGCCTTCTGTCCACAAAAACATCAATGCCATAAAATAATAAAAGAAAACAGGAGAGAGAAACAGTGAACAAGATTCCACTAAGAACATTGGCTGACTACAGGAATTGAGAATGTCTTCTTGGTTAATCAGCAGATTCCTAATCTCCACTCCCTGTATGTCATACTATATCTAATGTCTAGCATCTACAATACCAGGATACAAATGCATGACCACAGTTGTAGTGAACCTGATAAAAATACAGATAAAATTTCAGAATTACTGTCTTTTTCGAATTAAAAAGAAAAAGGCCAAAGGGGAAGATGAACTTAAAATCGCCAGAAAGCATACAGAGTCATACTTCCAGAAATGGATATGATAAAAGGAGGGGTCAGAATACATTCTAGAACCTAAAACCTTCCACTTCTATATTAGCATTCATATAAGCACATCACAGCCTAAAACCTTGGCAGGACTCCAATCCCAGAAACCACTAGATCATTCTATGCTGAGTGAAAATCACAATGGATTCATAACAAAACAAGATGAACAGATAAAAAGAAATAAATGAGATCATAAACAACATTTCAACTTTCAAGCAAATACCTCATATATCAAAATAACAATGATGAAAGAAAGATTCAAATATGTTAAATTAAAAACAAAAATTACCAGAAAACATACCTTGCACCCCTTAATACTATTGTACAAGCTTGACCCATTTCAACCCCAGAAAAGTGAATCAACTTGTCCTCACCAATCATGATTTCCTCAATGAGATTGCAGTGGCCAAGCTTAACTGATTCTGGATTGTCAAAGGTTGATGCAATTTCACCACCAGTTACCAGAGCAAGACGTTCAATCCCATCAAAATCAGCATGCTCAATTGCTAAAATCCCAGCATCTGCAAACAGCTCCTCGGGAAAATTGTAAATCAACTGCCTATTAACAAAGCAATTAATCCCATGTGCTATGATCTTCTGCACCTTCTGTTTCATTTTCTCTTTCTCAGCCCCTTCAATCTGGGCAACCCTTGACATAGAATCTACACGAACACGGGCCCCGTAGATCTTCACTTTATCAGTGTCCATTGCAGTATTTGCCACCAAAATCTTGGCATTTTCTATACGCTTTGGTTGGCCAATGCCTATTTTCTTGTCAAGAATAAATCTGCATGCAGATCATAGGACTCCAACTAAGAACAGAGATGTGTATACAAGGATGGGAGAAGCAATAGTTTATGTCCCAGAAAATAACAGAGCACAAGGGAAGGTATACAGCACATTATTGGAAGACTAGAAGCAAATATTGGAGGCATGCAACAAACATGTAGCAAACCTTTCTAGACATTTCCAGAAACAAGATAAAGCAAATTACACATAAGACCCATTATGACCAAATTATCACAATTAATGATCCAAAGAAAATGAACTAGCGGCAAAGTAAAAATTATAGCAGCTTTTATCAATAATAAACAGCTAGACCTTTGAGACATCCAATGAAGTCTACAAGTTGATACCCACCCTTCATCTAGAAAAGAATCCTTCAAAGATCCTCCAGGCTTCTTTATAATTTGAATAGCCTCCAAGTTTGTACTTCCCTGCCATTACCCAAGAGGTAATAATTAATAAAGAATTAAGTAAATCAGATGCCACAAAAAAAAGGAACAGATGGGAGGAGAATGATTCAAATATCAAAACAACCTTGCACATGAGTATTTTCTACTGTATTGCCACTGACATAGGAAAAAATGAAGCCACTGTATTGCCGTAATAAAAGTGAGATACAGAATGGGGACAAAAGATGGGATGCGGTTTAGAAGCTAGGGTCTGGGGATTTTAATAGGACATACAAAGGGTTTATGGATGCATTTCTTTTGAAACTATGAGAAGGAAAACTGGTTTCACGCAAACAAATGTCAATAACATGTGCAAGCAACCAAAACATATGATATGATTATGATGACAAGATGGCAGGTGAAAAGTGAACTTTAACAAAATTAGACAATAACCAGAACAGAGCATATTGGTCATGGTTGGTAGATTCATAGAGCAAATTTGAATAATTGATGAAGACCAAATAGTATAGTTGGCAACATTGTTTACACAAATAAGATGGCACAAATTTCATAAAATGTTGTGATAAGCCTTTAAACTACAGGATGAAAGTGTATACCTTAAGCCTCAAAACAGCGTCAACAGCAAGTTTTGCAAAGTGCTCCTTATCTTGAGAAAGGATTTTTGAACTCAGAGTTGTCATTGCAATCTTCATCAAGTCTGATTTGAATCTCTCTGCATCACCAAGTAATAGAATACAGGAGAATTTATATATTTGACAAAAATTGCAAAGAAGAAGGAAAAAGATAAATATAATCACTAATGGCAAACTCCAAAATACTCGTAGTGAAAATGGTCATTAGTTAATAAAGAGGTCCATCGGTGAGATGGAATTTTCTTTAAGTCAGAAAAGAATTTACTTAATAGCCATACCCAAATTATTGTCATCCGTCCCATCTGACACCAAGAAAACATGAGAAGCTCACCTTCGTGTGAGGCCCTTTAATAAATCATAAACCTAACAATGAGTTTTAGATGGGCAGAGTTTCATCTTGCACAAGGTCCCCAAATTTATAATTGGCATAGCTTACTCTGTAACGATATGGCTAGAATTTCACAATACTATATTTACAGACTACTACAAGGAGAGAAGTTAGCAACTGAGAATCAGTAAGTACGAAATGTCACATAAATGAGAATCTGTGTTTGACATTCAAAATAAAGTCAAAGCAATTACCTGCATCCTCTTTATTGTCCATGACCCTCTGCAACAAAGCACTTCGGGCACAATCAGCTGCCATCCTGTAACCTGAAAGTCCAGAAATAAAACATTGGGAGCCAATGAGAATGTAAGAAGCATCTGGGGGCAATAAATGGAGATGATAAATGATAAAAGCTGTAAGCATTCCAGGACCTAATGAATACCAAGACAGAAACATTTTTATAGGTAACACCAAGACAATAAATTATGAGTTATGAGATCAATTTTTCGGGATGAGATATTTTGATTTTTACTTTCTTTATTCATTTTCTTCGGGCTTGATAGGCAGTAGGCAAATACTGAAAGTAATTTGAAATTCTTAAAACATTAAGTATAATTTAGAAGTCAGAAAACCCACCGAACAACATAAAGTAGAAAAGCACTCCATGGATGTTATAATACATGATTGCATGAAGGTTTGAAGCCACCTATCCAGCTGAAATATTTAAGGAATAGAAAATAAAATTCCAAAAATGCTTCCAAATTCCTTTGATTTTTTCAAAGCCCTTCACTTTGTTATAAAGTACCTTAATCCTCCTTGAACATCTAAGTGCATGTTTGATGCCATGAAAAGAAGAAAAATTCTCAATAAATGATTAAAATTTAGGGAGATTTCTCTTGAGGGTTTTTCTACCACATCCACCCTTAGGAACGACCTTTTTTTAAGTAACCCAATTATCTGCCAAGGCTGAAGGCTCTTGAAGAAATTCTTTTAGTTTTGGGATATCATACAAGCCTCCTTATTAAGGGTCTATGGGACAAACCATAACATAAAGCTATTCTTTTATGCTCGCTGTTGGGTTTTAACTCGATGGTAGGTTAAAATCTACTAAAAAACAGAAGAGGATTCTCCCGTAGGCTTCACATGATTCATGGGCCCACCATATACAATAATCTTAGTTGCCAGGTTTGTTAGCAAGCTTTCTTCTATGTTTGTTGTTTAGTATTTACATTTAATTGATTCAAGGAGATTTTAGTAAATAGGTAGGGATCTTGGGAGATCTTTTAAAAGATCGAAAAAGTTACCTTGTTTCTTTCTAGCTTAGCCTTCGAAGTCAATATGACCTTAGAGTAAGTATATTCTGATAAACCTACGAGTTAATAAATAAAGTAGAAACCTTTATAAGGGAATACACAGAAGAAATGCATTTTATGAGCAGCTTCTTTTGTTTGGTGCAGACTCTAGACATTCTTGAAGGTGAAGCCATGAAGGCTTGAACCTATTAGGTGGGCATCATTATCAAATGTCAAGGCAACGCCCACACAAGGCGCTCATGGAGGGTTGGCTTGTTCAATCACCAAGATATTTTTTACACAGTGCTCTTGGATACTTTGATATTCTCAACCTTTTGAGATTACAATAAATAAAATAGACATTATTAAAATAAATTATTCATTTTAAGTTAAAAATTAGTTTCTTTTTATTATTTTTCTCATTTGTTACTATTCAATCAACATGTATACTACCTTGAACCCTCAAAGAAGACTTCAAAACATGAACTAATAAGCATGGAAGAACTCAATTGTATCCCATCAACAAATATTGATTATTTCCATCATCATCTTCTTCTTCTTCTTTCACCCTTTCTTTTCTTCTTTCCTAAGACAAAAATAGAGGTCCAACACCCCTCTATTTTATGAAATTTCTTTCTTCCATTTTTTCATGAATATGTTCATTTCTATGTTTCAAATGAAACTTATACATATCTTATGCAGACTAGACAATTAATAGTGAAAGACTGTTGCTGCTTTCTATGGAAGCTAAGGAATTACTCCAGGATCCATGGTCTTTATTCAACAAATTAAAAAAAAAAAAAAATCACCTAGGCAACTAGGTGACAATTAATAGTGAAAGATGGGTTTTACTGAAAAAAAAAATCATCTAGCCTCGCCCTAATGCCTTGAAAACTATTCCTCCAGGGTCCATTCCCTTACTTTGACAATCAAGAAATACAAAAATAGCTTAAACATAGTTTCAACACTTTTTTTGACCCCCCCCCAATAAAATACAACATGCTAAATCACACAATGAATGCTTGCTTGAGTGATTTGATTTCAATGTGTTCACATGGTCACACCCAATGTTTTAAAAGCGCAAGGCGCAAGGCACAAAAATACAAAAAAAAAATCAGAAAAATTCAAAAAATGTCAAAAAAAATTGAACATAATATTAATAAAAATACACTTAAATTTTAAAATAAATGTTTTAAAAAACCTATTACCTAAAATTAAAATACATAAAAATAACATGTGGAGCTCCGGTTTGCTCACTTTGCTTGCTCACCGAAGCTCCAGGAACCACCTATTTGCTAATATTGTTCATTCATTTATCCTAATAAATTATCTTCTTAGAAAGCAATTAAAATTATAAAATCATTATTTTTTATATGAGAATAAAGAATTTAGGACCCTAATATGGACTTGTTTGGGCTTGCCTCAAGGGGCGTGGCATGAGGGTCTGGGTGCTTCACCCCCAGCCCAGCTGCTAGGTTCAAAAAACGTCAAATTTTCAAAAGGTGCACGCCTAGGCGCACTAGGCATGTGCCTTTTGAAAAGGCTGCGCTGAGGCGCATACCCTAAAATGTACCACGCCTATGCACCTAGGCATGCCTTTTAAATCACTGATCACACCACTTACTTGTGACTCTCTAATAGAACATAAGCATGTTACTAATCAAATGAAAAAACAAATTATCCAATCAACGCATACTATTGTTACTACCCCAAATGACCCACAGTAACAACCCTCTAACATATGAAAAAATAGAGATAGACTCTAGGGTATACTACCTTACAATGACAGTTTAGAAATACTAGGGTAACCAAATATATTGAGTGATGAGTTCACACCACCACGACACTCATGCAACAGTCCAATGAGACACAAGCATGATATCTTTTTTTTTTGGACTACACAACGGGGGGGTAGCCCATCCCCCAACCCAGGTGCAGGCGGGATTAGACCCCAAGTTTCCGCTACGACCAGCAAGAGACCTTACCAACCAGCTAGTTGGCACCTTGCAAAACACAATCATGCTATCAATCAAATGAAAAAACAAACCATAGAATGAGTATATGCCTTTTTCCTACCCCAAAAGATACAATATTAACCTACTAACATATGAAAAAATAGAGACTAGCTCTAAGGTCTGTTACCTTATATGACAATCAAGAAATTCCAAGGTAGCCTAACAGTGAGTTCATGCCTGATTTGATTTCGACGAGTTCACATGGTCACAACACTTTCTTGCGACCTCCATAAGGTATGAATATGCTAATAATCAAATTTAAAATTGTATCACCTTGTGAGTGTGCCGAGTGCATGCCTAGGTGATTTGGTTTTCATTAGTCCACATGGTCACAACACTTTTTGCAACCCACCAATAAAGCATAAGCATTCTATCAATCAAATGAAAGACGAAATTACCTAGTGAGTGTATGCTTGCTGTTGATACCCCAAGTGATACATGAACTACCCATTATCATATGATAAAATGGATACTTCCTCTAGGAATATCAAGAAATATGAAGGTAGCCTAACATGTGGAGCAATGAGTTCATATTATTATACACTTTCTTGTGGCCTCTAAAAAAGGCTAGACATGCTATAAATCAAATGATAAACCAAATCACCCAGTGAATGCATACAGAAGTGATTTAGTTTTCATGAGTTCACATAGTCATAACAATTCCTTGTGACTATTCAAAAAAACACAAGCACACACGCACACACACACACACACACACACACACATATATATATATATATTAAAGGAAGGCTTTCAGGCTACAGCCCCCCACCATTCAGACACATGGCTTTTTCAAATTTAGACACATGGCAGTTTCTGAGAAGTTGCTGTTAAAGCCCACAGTCCACTACCACCATTCAGATAAGAGGCCTTCTCATTTTCTAGAAAGCTAGACACATAGCAATTTCTGAGAAATTCCTACTAAAGCCCACAACCCACTACCAGGCTACAGCACCCCACCATTCAGACACATGGCCTTCTCATTTTTCTACAAAACTAGGCACATGGCATTTGCTGAGAAGTTGCTGATAAAACACACAACCTACTACCACCATTTTCAATCCATTCCTAAAAAAATGCAAAAGTGTTTATCCACAACCACTTCTGCCTATATTCTATCATTTTCAGTTAATCATTAACCTTTTACATATCATAACAAAAGAAAACTATCCATATTCTAATAATTATTGAAAAGCTATTTTTTGAAATAAATATCTCTTGAAATTTTAATAATTATTTAAAATATTAATAAATATAAATTTAACAGTATTGATTCCATAATGTAAATTTAACATTACTGATTCCCCTTACTGAGTACGGGGTCATTCACTAGTTGCTATCAATGAAATGAAACACCAAATAGCCCATCAAGAACATGTCTACTATTGGTACACCAAATGATACAAGAACAACCCACTATCATTTAAAATAGAGACTACAAGAGAGAATGCACAGCTCCCACCATGCCCCACCCTAGTCCCTAGGATTATAAATAACTCTTGTGATTTTCTTATTTTAGCATTTTAATGTTAATTATTCTAATGTCAATCCTCCATTTCCTTTATATGTTGTTTAAGTAATTCTCCAACTCTTCTAATGTCAATCTTCTATTCTTCTATGCCTTTGCCCTTTGTTAGTATTCTCACCAGCTATATCAATCTTTTTCCCTCTATTACTATAATTCATTGTTCATTCTTGCTATATTAAGGTGTTGTTGTAGTCCTTGTGGAGCTACACTTAAATGACACTACTACCCCTAAACATTACTCTAATCCCAAATTCCATTTTCCCTAATGCATACACTTTCCATTTTCATCCATAACCTGTCCAATTTATCCTTCATGATCAGGGCATCAAAGCACCCATTACATACTTGGCCAATATGCTAAAAGCTTTAACACTGTTGAAACATGTCAAGCCAAGCCATTTAACCTTTAGAACCATAGCATGCCACCACATTTCTGTAGCCAATGTCTTGGAAGCTCTCACTCTAGTGGCAGATAGCCCTTCCCAATGACAGCTCTCACATTACTCCAGGTAGCCCTTTCTATGATAGGTCTCACTCTGCTCCAGGTAGCCCTTTCCATGGATCAAACTCAAGAAATGGTGGTAGGCACTAATACCAATTGTTACATACTTGACCAATATGCCAAAAGTCTTTAGATTGTTGGAATGTGTCAAGCCAAGCTGTTTAGCCTTTAGGACCATATGAGCACCTGACTGACCAGCAATTTATGCTTTTTCTAGATATGTCGCTTACATATAGACATTAAAAATACCCATTTTCATTGCTAAAGCTTCAGAACCTACATAATTTCAAACTTGCCACAAGAGACAGGGTCCACTGGGAGATTGTAGTGTAGGTGCTACCAGCCTTCCGACAAGAAAATGATGGTCATAAATCGTCAATTTTACATTAATCAAACTATAGTGATAAAGAATAACAATGGAAGGCCAAAAGTTCCTTTTCGAGAACAATAGCAAATTTTGATTAGAATCCAACAAATAGGTGGTTTTGAAAACACTACACAAGCATGTGCACACATAGATAGCATTAAGAAAACACTACAATCATCCATAATCCAACCTGAACCACAAATATAACTTTAATAAATTGCATTATACCCAATGATTTCTTTCAAGTGACATATAATGATAATATATCATTTAAAAGTTGCTAAGAGGCACACCTAAAAACGATAAAAAATTTGAATCACAAAAATAAGAGATCTATTTACTAGAGGTGGCATACACTGCTTCCTGTTATACATATAATATTGTTGTTCAAGAAACCATCAGAATCATAAAGTAAACCTGCAATTATAGTCATCGGATGAATCTTTGTTGCAATCAACTTTTCAGCCTCTCTTAGAAGTTCTCCAGCCAAGACAACAACCGAGGTGGTCCCATCACCAACTTCATCATCTTGAACTTTTGAAATGTCTGATACCCTTGAGTTAAGGGGAAGCATCAAACATTGTATACAAGCATAACACTGCAGAAATTGATAGTTCTCTGGAGGTGACTGACTGGTGAATTATTCCGCAGGGATTTAATGAGAAGTAAAAGCTGGTATAATGGAAAGTTGAAGCCTAATGCAATCAATACACTTTTGACGATACTACGAAGTTACAAACTAAACCAGTCCAACCCTCAAACCCACAATCAAAGCTCATCCATAGAGAATTAGACAAATTAAGATCCTGATGGCATGTAAGTCAATGGATAACAAATATATTGAAAAAGGATACCAACAAGGACTTTGGCAGCAGGATTGTCAATATGAAGAGACTTTAAAATAGTGGCACCATCATTAGTAACAGTCACACTGCGACCTCGACCTGTTGATTGCAAAATTTTATCCTACACAGGAAATGCATTGGCAAATGGCTGGGTTAAATTCAAGTACAAATTGAATGTAAATCTCATATTCTCATTGTGGACTTCTAACAACAAACAATTGGTATATTAAAGATAGAATGAAAGGGAGGAGGGACTTACCATCCCCTTTGGCCCCAAAGTGGTCTTGACCAAATCAGCAATTGCCATAGCACCAACAAATGATGCCTAAATTAAAATATACAAGTCGGTAAGCAACATACAGAAGAATGTAGAACCACTAAATTCAGCAGAAAGTAAAAACATTGTATAAATCTGATTATAGAAAGATCTCCCAAATCTAAAGGAGCACAATACACATTGTTCCATAAGGTAGTCTTGTAGTAGCAGCTGCTACAACCACAACTCAAGAACAATAGTAGGCATTTCTTGGCAAAAGAAAAGGCACAGATTAGTCTCTAGAGAGACAAAAACAAGAGACTGTACTCATCAAGGTAAGAAGCACGATTTCAAAAGAAGCATTCAAAAAACACATTAAACAGATGCCACCTAAAATAAATTAGCCACAAAAAATAGCCAAACACTATGTATGCATGAGAATATATGCAAATGTACAAAAACATCCTAATTCACAGCGCTTTGGATGCATATACAGACATCAATATTCATGGGTATCTTCCCATATACCCAACATAAAATGGAGAAAACGAGACTCACCATTCTGGCACGCTCCCCTTTCTCTTCAGTAGCTTCATCTTTAAAGAGATTGTCGATCTACAACAGTTATCAAAGTAAGTAAAAAGTAAATGCAGAATCAACCGAAAGCTCAAACATTCAAATTTTTGGAACATCAGTGAAAGTCAAAAAGTATACCGCCATAACAGATGTGATCTGGATTCAGCGCCCTCTACTTCAACTTGTGTGAAACTAACAATTTTCTTTTACGAAGTAACCTTAAAGACCAAGGGAAACAATGATAATCAGCAATCAATAACCAAGAGACGCACAGAAAAGTAGCCTGTTTCAACAAAGAAAAAAGTAAATGAAACTTTTCCAAATGGTAATAGTTCACTTAGCCTAGGCGTTAGCGAAATATCTAACTTTGCAAATAAACTGCAATACATATTAAGGACTCGATAGCTGAGCTTCCAATTTCTATACAGGGGTACCTTACAGAAATGCAGATTACTTACCCAATAAAAAGATCGGCTACCTGAACTAATTTAGACTGTTGAAAAAAAAGGCAAAAACTGAAGGAACTAAGCTAAGATACAAATGAGTAACCACAGCATAGATGTCGCAGAGACTGAAGTCATAAAACAACGGAAGAAAATGAAAATGAATTTAAAACCCTAAACACAAGAAGCCTACGAAGCAGTATAGCTTTTGGACATAAATGCTAGAAAGAGCTCGATTCAGAGATAACACACCTGACTGCAGAGACACCGGACACGGAGTTGGAAATTGTTGGAAACGATCGATTGGAATTATTAGCGTTCGAATACGTTTCCTGAGCTTCCAATTTCTATACAGGGGCACCTTACAGAAATGCAGATTACTTACCCAATAAAAAGATCGGCTACCTGAACTAATTTAGGCTGTTGAAAAAAAGGCAAAAACTGAAGGAACTAAGCTAAGATACAAATGAGTAACCACAGCATAGATGTCGCAGAGACTGAAGTTATAAAACAACGGAAGAAAATGGAAATGAATTTAAAACCCTAAACACAAGAAGCCTTCGAAGCAGTATAGCTTTTGGACATAAATGCTAGAAAGAGCTCGATTGAGAGAAACACACCTGACTGCAGAGACACCGGACACGGAGTTGGAAATTGTTGGAAATGATCGATTGGAATTATTAGGGTTCGAATACGTTTCCTGAGATGATATTGATGCCCGTCAAGTCACACTCTTGTTGGGCTAATGGGCTCCCCCAGTTCTCGGTCTGGAATATGATACAAGATGATCGTATATATTTTCAATGGACGATCCCCTACACTGCTACGGACTACCGTCTATAACGTATATCAGCTATCGATCAGCACCGTTAAAAGAAAAAGTTGGGATCAATGTGGACCATGTTTACGATTGGGAGATGTGATCAATGATAATGTGCGATTGATGGTAACATTGGTAGTATATAGTCGCTATATTATGCGATCACTTCTCTCCTCTCTCTCTCTGTTTAAAGTTTTAAACAGTAGCAGCTGGCTTGGGATCGAACCCACTGATGGATTGTTCCATCAGAGACTTGGGATCGAATCCCGTTGCCACCACGGATTGGGGGGTTATGGCCTATGGGAGTATGGGCAGGGTAGGGATGACCATTTCAGCCCATCCCGGAATTTCCAGGCTTGGGCCTATCTTGTGTTCAGGGCCGGCCTAGGCCCAAAATTTCAGGGCCAGAATCATTCCTAGCCTTTCATATGGTCCACATAATATTGCAAAACAAAGATAGATTCTTCTGCTTAACTATTTGCTCATCAAACCAAAAAAAAAAAAAAAAACTATTCGCTCATCTAACTGAACCATGGGTGAGACAATAGAGCACGATTTCCATATCGGTTTAGTAACTGAGGAACAAAATAATGGTTGGACTAAGGGTCCGTTTGGTTCGTAGGCAGGATTAGAATCGAAATCGGAATCGGAATCGGAATCACTTATTCCTGATGTCTGTTTGGTTCAGTCAGGAATTAGAATGGGATTCCGATTGTTGCTATTTGGTTCAATAAGAAGCCAGAATCGGAATCAGCCTAAATTTCCAATTTTACCCTAGTTAAAAGAACCTCAATGGCAATAGTAGAGAAATGACCAATCCCAAACTAGAGGAAGAAGAATAAGTAACCCATCTATAATTCTTGATAATTTTTGGGAAAGGTTTAAGCTATTTTGAGTGAACGCCAAACATGACAACATTCAACAATCTCATTGTTAATGACTCTAGAATGCTATGTTAACACAAGGCATCCATTATTGAACATCACCAATAAGCAAACTTACCGAAATAGGTTCCTGGCTTTTGATAATCAATGCATGCTTTCTGATGGCTTTCTAGCATGGGTCTCCATTATTGACAGGAACATTTTGAACATGTCTTGTCCGATGAAGTTCAGATCTCCTACCCACGAGAACTCTGCTCATGTTTATCGTAGCCACACATGGAGAACATCTCATCCTCTGCATGGTATTATGCAGGGGGAGATGTTTCCAATTCACGGGGGGTAGTGTATTGTGGGTAGGTGTGGACAGAGTTCTTGTGGGCAGGAGATACGAAGTCTGTCTAATGTTGACTTAACTCCAAACCACACCCTCTGACGATTGATCCAAGCATGGTGCACCCTCAATGCCTCCAAAGGGATTGGATGGTTCTTGACACTGAAGCCATCCGTCAATAAGGCCAAAATCGCCAAGATACTTGATGAATCAATTTTTGGTGATGTATCAATTTTTTTGTGCTAAGTACCTCGTCATTTGGTCTGCTTCCAAGTTGTCGATGACTTAGAGGCCGAAGTGGAGAACTTTTGCTGGATGAGGACTTGAATGCCAAGCTAACCAGGCCAAGCTGGGGGCAAATTAGGTGCCGAGCTGACTGAGTCGAGCTAGGGAGGTTAGGTGCCGAATTGACTGGGCCGAGCTGGGCAAGTTAGGTGTCAAACTGACCAGAGTGCCGAGCTTACCAGACTGTCGAGCTGCCTATTAGGTGCCGAGCTGACTAGAGCGCTGAGCTGCCTATTAGGTGTCAAGCTTACCAGAGTGTCGAGCTGAATTGATTGTTGAGCTTCGTAGTTCTTTAGAGACTTACAAGGAATCAATGTCAGAGGACCCGAGGTGGCTAACCCAACGAGGTTTCTCCGATGCTTAAGTCAGTACTCTCATAGTAGATTGCGAACTAAAAATCACAAAGTATGAGAGCTAGAATATGCTTACTTGCCCCCCTCATGTCATTGGGGTTGGTGCCTTTATATAGGCATTGCTTGGCAGGGGCTTCACGCACCATATCCGAGATTTCCGAGAGGTCGCCTAAGTGGTCCGAGATTCCCGGAGGCAACCGCCATGCACATTGACCACCCTCCGGATCGTTTGGTATGTGGGCTAACTTCCAAGGATCGTGGGAGTGTTGGGATATGCATGCCGAATTTATCGGCGAGCACGTCTCGCGGGTCGCCAGTTCGATGCCTGTGCCAAGTCGCCTTCGGCACTTGTGCCAAGCTGCCAGGTCGGCGCCTGTGCCAGGTCGCCAGTTGGGACACCATCATCTTGGCTAAGGCAAGTTGTTGCCTAAGTGGTTTCGGATGTCACCTAGTTGCCACGTGTCACAATGTCATTGGAGGGCCAAATCCGCCCTCATCAATTGCCCCCACTCCCGAGCTGAAAGTAACTCGACGAAGGGAGTAGATTGCTCCTTTTGGCCTGGAATGCCTAATTCGATGAGCTCGTAAGCGTCGATCTAATTTTGCTTCTCAAGTCGGAAGAGTCCAAGTGTTTGTAGCCTTGGGGTTTGTAAGCGACTCGCAGTTTACTCTCCTTACCCTTGATTTTTCCCATGCCGAAGAGGCAAATGGGTCTTATGTGGCGTTGAGGTCTTTTATCAGCTCGGTACTTTAGCCCTTGGGCTTTGGGAGCGACTTGCAGTCCACTCTCCTTGACTTTGCCCATGCTGAAGAGGCGACTGGGTCTTATGTGGTGCAGAGGTATTTTATCAGTTCGGCACTTTAGAACTACGGCTTGCGCTGCATCAGCCTCGTTAGTGACACCAGTCAGCCACTCCTACAAGAAGCTACTGGGAGCTTGACCTACGGGGGCAGCACTACTGACTTTAGGTCACCAGCTCACACAGGAGCCTTGGAAGGCTCAACCGGCAGGGGCGTCCGTGCAGTCCGTTGGCCGCCAACTCCCGCGAAAGCCACGAAGAGCTCATCTTTGTAGAGGGTACCTCGCGAAGAGGACTGATGAGGCTTTATCCGAGTTGAAATAAAGTTGGCAGAGCTGCTTAGTCTGTTGGCCATTAACTTCCTACTTAGTCTTTGAGTTCATAAAAAATGGAAATTAGAAAGTAAGAGCTTTTAGTTTCTAAAAGGTGAGAACTTAGGTTTTTGGAAGAAGAGGACTTAGCCTTTCGGAGGATGAGAACTTAGCTTTTTAAAGCGTTTCCCACAGACGGCGCCAATTGATGAATCAATTTTTGGTGATGTATCAATTTTTTTGTACTAAGTACCTCGTCATTTGGTTTGCTTCCAAGTGGCTGATGGCTCAGAGGCTAAAGTGGAGAACTTTTGTTGGATGAGGACCTGGATGCCGAGCTGACCAGGCCGAGCTGACTGAGCCGAGCTGGGGCAACTGACTGGGCTAAGCTGGGCAGGTTAGGTGTTGAACTGACCAGAGTACCGAGCTGCCTATTAGGTGTCGAGCTTACCAGAGTGTCGAGCTGCCTATTAGGTGCCAAGCTGCCTATTAGGTGCCAAGCTGAATTGATTGTTGAGCTTTGTAGTTCTTTAGAGACCTTCAAGGAATCAATGTCAGAGGACCCGGGGTGGCTAACCTGGAGAGGTCGCTCCAATGCTTAAGTCAGTACTCTCATAGTAGACTATGAGTTAAAAATCAAAAAGTATGAGAGCTAGAATATGCTTATTTGCCCCCCTCATGTCATTGGGGTTGGTGCCTTTATATAGGCATTGTTTGGCATGGGCTTCACGCACCATATCCGAGATTTTCGAGAGGTTGCCTAAGTGGTCCGAGATTCCCGGAGGCAACCGCCATGCACGTTGACCACCCTCCGGATAGTTCGGTACGTGGGCCAACTTCCAAGGATCGTGGGAGTGTTGGGATATGCATGCCAAATTTGTCGGTGAGCATGTCTCATAGGTCACTAGTTCGACGCTTATGCCAGGTCGCCAGGTCGGCGCCTGTACCAGGGCGCCAGCTGGGACATGGCTAAGGCAAGTTGCTGCCTAAGTGGTTCTGGATGTCACCTAGTTGCCACGTGTCACAATGTCATTGGAGGGCCAAATCCGCCCTCATCAATACTCAATGATGTTGTTGCCATAGTTGCAGATGAGGTGTCTTCAGAAGCTCAAGTTCATGGTGTCCGAAAGCAATCGAAACAAGAGATGCATGGAAGTTGTAGGGGAAGTTCAATTCTTGGTGTCAATAGTTAAGAGCAAGGATTAAAGTATCAATATCAGGTATCATATCGGAGAATCCGGATACAGCTACGCTTGGGAAACACGTGGATACGAACGAAAAATATGAAAACAGATGGATACATTCGGGAAATACATACGAATTTCACAAATATATCAATAACACTGAATTTAAGATCGAAATAGTCACAAATAGTATATAAATGAATAGAAAATGTATATTTTAATGGTGTATATGAAAAATATATTACAATTAATATATCGGGTGCCTAGATATCATATAATTTTATTTATAATGCATCAATCATGAGTCCAAGACACTAAACACATGTGCATATTATATTTTAATTATTATATCACTTTTTATTTACTATTTTAATTTTTTAACATTAACAAAAAAATCAACTAAATATTAAAATCTCAAATGAAAATTAAAATACCAATTAATAATTCACAAAAATATAATATTAACTTAAAGTATATCAAAATTTTAAAATTTCTAAGATACATATCCTATAAAATTCATAATTTTTAATTACTAAAATAATTATTCAATTGCTAATATTTTTATTTCTATAAATAATTTGAAATAAAAAAAAACCATTTTTTTAAATAAATGTAGATTAGTGAATTTGATAGATTGAATTTAATATTATATTCTTCAATATTTTGTAAACAATATTTTTATTTGTTATAAATAATAAATATGTTGTTATTAATTATTAATGTAAATTAAAATATTAATTAATAATTTTTACAAATATATAAAAAATTTAGATTGCATATCATGTGCAATTTGATTATTAAA